TAACCATTTACGCCATGCCCGCATTCAGTTAAACATTATGAATGCAAAATCAGTAATCAAATTGATTTTATTGAAAGCAAGATTAGTTTTCCATTTGATTCAACAGTGTAAAAGTTTGCTCTCATTTTTGCTGTGTTTACCGTTAAGTCAACCAAAATGAGATCAACTGGAGTATTCAAAATAAGTTACATCGTAACAGCAAATTTTGATTTCAATTTGATCTCCAGCTTTGCTCGGGTTATGGAACACCTTCGAAAACTTTCGCTACAACACACCAGAACCAAAAAACAAACAGGTAGGTACATAGCTATAAGAGAATGGGAGCAGTGTGGAAATATCGAAAAAAGTTCATTATCACAAGCGAGATGTTTTCACTAGGGAAATTATCGATGAGAATTTCGCAAAGCGGTATTTCTCGAGCGAACATTCTTGTTCTAACAAAAAAGTTCGCTCGGGAAATACCGCTTAGCGAAATTCCCATTAATTGAGAGGAATTAATATCACTCCCACTTTGACTCACCTGCAAGAGAGAGCGTATGTTAAAGATAATTTTTACTGTAGCACAAATTTTCGTTCCAGATATGTGATGAAATATATCCTCGTGAACTTTTTTATTGGTAACTCGTTAGCAGTCTTTGAATAGTTTGAATTGCTGTTATGAGTAATGTAAAACAAGAGTTACCGAAAGTGAAAACCTTACAAATGTGTATTAAATGCATCCTAAATGTATACTTCCACCAATTAAAACGCACGCTCCTACATGTATGCAACCTAAATATCATCATGCATAAAGCATAACACCTATTCTAGAAAAAGAAAACATCAGCAGAGTAGCTGAAACAAGCTCCCGGCAAGGTGACGGATAACTTTTGTTTCGAGTACCCACTTGCAAATAGTAGATGTCGCCACACAACGTAAACAAAGGGATTGTCCTTATCTGCCGCAACGGTATTTTTCTATGTGAAACTAACATTTTGTTTCGCCATGTGTGGATGTCAAACAACATGCATATGAAAAGAGCGAAAATACTTTCGAGGTGAAATGAAATAAATCTAATCGAATTGAAACCGATTGGCGGTGGTTCGTTTTCTTACATAATAGAATGGCAGTACAAATACTTTGCATTTGCATTTAAGACCTTCGACAAATGTACAGAGAAGACCGTTGGAAACTAACGATTTTAAATTGGCTCACTACTTGGCCTATTGCTCCCAAGAACATCTATAAGCGTACCCCATTCTAGTAGAAAATCTAGTACTACACTATGTTTGTTTTGATCAATGTTGCAAATTTTCGCATCAATGAAAACTCAGTACCATTATTTGAGAGATACAACTCACAATGTTCACTTTCCAACCAGGCTCTCACTACGAATAGGACAGAGGCAATAACAAAAATATTCCGACTCAACTCAGTGGGAGAATAGACAAATGCTGAGAATGTGTTCATCTAACCAGACTTTCTCTCTCTCAGTAATTGAGCTTAGTCGTTCTGATTCACCATGCTTCTAACTCGAGGTCTGAGTCAGAGTGTGCTGATAGAAACAAATTGAGTTAGAGTGAGTCTACATGTTCGTTGAAGCAGATGTACCTGGGTACGTTGATAAAGGGGCAAGGGAAATAAAACAACTTTATAGTAAGCGTGCATAGGGGCGACTGTTGAACCTGAAAATAGATTCAGTGTCATGTCGGGGTCGCCACATTTTTGCAATAAACGCACAATGCATGGATGAGAATGAGAATGTTGAAATTATTCATTCGGGTAAGTACAGAAACAATTATTTTTAAAACTGAAAAAGAAATATAAAAAAATCTTTTATGATTTGCATTACAAATTATGTAACGTATGTGTGGAAAGGGTGATTTTTCGTTACTTATTATTACATAGGGGGCGGGAAATATAGGGCCAGATGGAACAAGAGTGCCACCGAAATGAAAACTGTATATTTACATATTCTACATAGTTGTTTGCCATACAAAAATACATATTCAAACGGCGCCGGTGGTGTAGTGGTAAGCGTGATTACCTCTCACCCCAGCAGGCCTGGATTCAATCCCAGTAGAAATCCGCGTAAAAAAACCGTGTAAAAAAATCGCGTAAAAAGCGACTCTAGTGTATAACGATAAACCGTGTTAATTCTGAAATCGGCGAAAAAAAAACCAAAATCCGCGCAAAAAAAAAAACGCGTAAATTCCGAAATCCGGATAAAAAAACCGTGTAAATTCCGAAATCCGCAAAAAAAAACCGCGTGAAAAAAAACCGTGTAAAAAAAAACCGCGTAAAAAGCGACTCCAGTGTATTCACAAATTAGACATTTGCAGGAGTTTTTTAGTTATTAAAAAACACCTAAAATATCACGTGCTGCCACATGTTTTTAAAACTTTTCGGCAGTAAAATAGGTATAGATTCAGAATCCTTCCTAGAATTTTACGCCAATTTGCGCCGGAAATAGTTATTTGAGGAGCAAATACCCCTAAAAATATCGATTATTCACGAATAACTTTTTTGTTTCAAGAGATAATTATTTACAATGTTCAGCAAAAGCATGTGTTTAAACATGCAAAATATAAATGTAGAAGAAACTAAAATTGTAGGATGCCTAGAAAATCAGTTATGTTAAAAAGTATGATTTAAAGGCGCATTTCACGAAAAATGATACATATCTCGTAATTTATAAGAGCTAGAAATTTTGAGTGTTAAACAAAGTTGCTTAAAATAACATTTGCTACAACTTTGTGCTAGACGTTAAGTCTCTATCTAAATCAGATAAAAAAATATATTTTTGATCTCACTTTAAGGTAGATTAATCACCAAACCGTCTACATCAAAAGAAGTTAGCGTTAGCGCAAAACCATCCATTTGTTGCAAACTATTTCGCCTACCCGCAGAAAAATTTAGGTGTTTCACCAATGAAACAGAACGCGGACTGCGGCAGGCAGAGAGAAAAAGAAACTTTCTTTCTCTCTCTTTGTCGTGTCTCCGTATCCGTACATAATAACCAGTAAAATCTTGCTCAACCATTGACTCAGTCAATCAGTGATTCAAGCCACCTGAAACTCGAGCGGCACTCACTCAGTGCCCGAGTTTCCTCGGTATCGGCTTGGATTTGTGCATTTCATAGAATGAACGGATAAAGGCGTAAACCTTAAGGGCACTCTTTCGCTCTTCTCTTGAAGCGGTAGGTGACTGATGAACAGAGACAGTTTTGGTTTGTAGTTCTCTCCAGTGGAGATTATTGTCGGTTTCAAATCGCGGCTTCTCTCATCAATCAGCAACATTGGTTTTGATTAGCTAAGAAAGTTTGACAGATAAAATGATGTTTTGAGGGGTGCATCGATTAGCTTGGGACAGAAGATAGTACCAGGGCTGAGCCAAAAAGTTGAGCACGTTTCTTCGAGACGTTCTGGTCTTATACCTCTATGGTATTATTAAAGGAAATTAATCAGAAATACATGCAGTATCTATGATGTAAAATATTATATTGCAAGAAATGAGCATTGTAAGTAACTATTTACCTCTTTTTTTCCTTGTCGGGTATTTTTGTGATATAATCCCCATTTTTTTTTTCTTTAGCTATATCAAGATACCGTATCACTAATATTAGGAGTAATCACCATCGTTTGACTAACAGCACAGCATTACACTTCGAATAAAGTGCATTGCCGTACTAGGAGTTGTTCTCCAAATGTCAAAGGGTCCACACATTTTGAAATTTCCCCCTTATGATTCAGAAATATTGAAGGAGGTGTGACAAAAGTCAAAATTATTATTTTCTCCAGCTTTGTTTATTTCGAAATGAGGTAAATATTTATACGGTTGATTTATAAATAAATTTCATATGGCAATCATAGAAAATACACATTTTGTACCAAAGTAGACTCTTTCGCTAAAAGTAATCCTCCAGATATTTTTTCGATCAGTCCATTTAAAATAAAATTTGATTATTATGAATGTAATCACTACATATTTCAATAGAATAAACATATTAATTATAAAAATATATAATTATTATTGTTGTGGTCTCAGTGCCAGGGTTTCTTCCACTCATTGGCTATAAAAAAATGTTTTTCGGAATTATGAAATCATTAGATGTTATTATGATATGTTGTACTTGTAAGTTAAATGAAGAGGTTGTCAAGTATGTCTTTGACACATGAAAGCTGTCAATTTCGCTTTCAGAGTGTTACAATCAGCGATTTTATGATTCGTGAGCGTTCAAGAGTGAGTGCTAGCTAGTCGTAAAATTGCTAATTATAACTATTTGAAAGCGAATTTAACAGGTTTTATGTTTCATACACATGCCTTTCAACCTCTTCTTGTACCTAACAAGTACAAAATATCATTATATTATAACATCCAGGGTTACTTCCACTCACTTCGCTATAAAAAAATATTTTTCTGAATTGTGGAATCATTTGATGCTATTATAATAGTTTGTACTTGTCAGAATCAAGAAGAGGTTGGAAAGTATGCATTTCACACATAAAACCTGTCATTTTCGCTTTCAACGCGGCAGAATAAGCAAATTTATGACTCGTGAACGTTCACTCAGAGTGAGCGCTCACGAATCGTATAATCGCTTATTGTGAAGCACTGAATGCAATAATGACAGGTTTTATGTATCAAACACCTAGTTTACAACCTTTTCTTGTAACTTACAAGTACTAATCATCATTATTAAACCTAATGATTTCATAATACCGAAAAACAATTGTTTATAGCAAGTAAGTGGAAGCAACCATGATAACATCTAATGATTCCAAAATTTCGAAAATATTTTTTTTATAGCAAAAAATGGAAGCAAGCCTGCTCAGTGCAAAAACAATTCGGAGGGAGGAGTCTACTTTGGTGCAAAATGCGCATTATTATTTAGTGAAATATTTATAACAATTCATCTTTAAAATACGGCGGGCGCGAGCTTCAACAAATTTTCATATCCAGTATTTTCCTTACCACTGTGACACCTATTGACGTCCTTCGAAAAGTGCTTATTTACTCACCTATGCTTAATGGTTTCACCCTCATCGGTAATGGTCGTTTGATTTGTACTGTATCCGAATTCTCACATTGTACAGCATTAGTTTGCTCAAAATTTGAGGGTGGTGTTGTATAAGAATTAATGCCACGACTTTTTAAATTTGCTTCGTTAGAGTCACTCAATTCTTTTAAACCACAATCACCACATTCGGTCAATAATCTCAACTGTTGTGAATGGCTAGATATATCAGATAACAAACGCTCAACACTAAAATTTATATGATTCGTACACATAATATATCACTTTTCTACACTTTATCATTTGGAATTGATTTAATATGTTTCGATTCCTTAAACATAAGGTGCACGCTCGGCGGTCGATAGTGAACTAACACTGGATTTTCAAGCGTCTGGTTATATTCAAAAATAAACCATATTGAGTTAGGCGGAGCTACAGAGTAAACAATAAACAAACCAGTCAAGGGTTGCTCTCGGATTTGAATATCCACCGACAGTTGCATTTCTTCAGGGGATAATAATGGTATTTTTTTAACATACACACTTAGATTATTTTACAGGAGTCAGTATTTTTACTGGGTTTTTGAATTGCTGAAAAAGTCGGTAAAAATTCACATGAACGTTATGCGTAAGGAACCATTAAATCGACCAATTTGATTTTCTATCATTAAAAGTGATTAACAGAATTAAGTCTGTACAAGTTCGGAATACATTTTCTATTTTTTTTTTTTTTTTCACAGTAAAAAATCTTTTACCGAACAGTTTTGCAATTCAAAAACCCAGTAAAACTTTACTGACTGGACGACTGTGTACAGGGTGTTTGGTTCCGGGTTTTACATATTTTCAGGGTAGATAGGGCTCCTAAAGTTATGAAAAAATCCCCATGAAACATAGGGTCGGAAATGACTGCTAAGTGAGTTATTCAACATTTTTTGTTTTTTTGTATTGCCAACTTTGGTTAGCTATATTTTTTTAATCTTAATTTGGTTTTCTGATTTCAACATACCAAATGAAAGATTAAAGTCTTATCTATCAATACTCTTTGAATAAGAACTCGATTAAAGTTAACTATCATACATTAAAATTGAAAAGTATGTGGAAAGTACCAAAAAAACTGGTAAAAATTCATACATTTTAGTGTTTTTGAGTTGAAAATTTTCATTTCTGTTTATTTAGTTGTTCTACAAAACATTTTTCATGCAGTTCCCTAGATTTATGTCTTTGGTAGTAACCTTGTAGGCTTTATGGTTTCTTCGTAATTATTGATTTAAAACAGCGATAAAAACTTGTGACGTTTTCATAAAATGCGCAATAGTCACCCTATTCGTTCGTACGTTCGGCTGTTGCAGTGGACTACGCACATGAAAATTTGGTAGAATGTTATTGTAAATGTTTAGCTACATTCTTAACTTTTAATTACCGCACATCTCCTGCGCCGAAAGAAAACATAACTGCGGAGATGTTTCGCGGTATCGAATATTGCTCAGTCTCAGCAGAAAACACAACGAGAGACACCGAATCAGCGAATTCTGAGAGCGGAAGGGAGAGAACTAGGTAGGTGGTAATAAGTCGATGTCCTTTTTATTTCATAGCACTCGCAGCTCAGCTGCGGTGCTGTTTCGATGGAGGGGCGTGGAGCTCCGCTGCTTCTGCATACACACTTAGATTTTTTTATAGGAGTTAGTATTTTTACTGGATTTTTGGATTACTGACTCGGTTAAAATTCAAATGACTGTTAATCGTAAAGATTGGTTAAAATCGAAAATTTTTATTTTTCATCATTACACGGGGGTAAATTTTCGTAACACATTTTCTCAACTTTGAATTTTTCACAGATTTTTTAAATTTTACCGAAGAGTTCCGCAATTCAAAAACTCGGTTAAAAATTACTGACTTGATAATTGTGTACTGATGTATGGTTGGTGAAGAGGCAGCATGTGGAGGGTATTCTCGGGCTAGTGAATGCCACCCATCCCCACTTATAATTCAGTAATACACTATTTATTAATTTCTGTTTGATATGTTTACAAAGTTTGCAAACAGAAATGAGCATTCCAGTGTAGTTACCAATTTTCCAAGTCATAGACTTCAGATAACTGTTTAAAGTCCCAGATTTTTTTATAACGGAATCATGAACAAAAAAGAAAGCAAAGACCACTATGACAAACGCGATCGGTCTGAAGGGATCTTTACATATAGATTGTTGATTCAGAACCTCGGGCTCTGGTTCAACTTCGCTTTTTCCAGGAGGCCATTATCTGCTACCGGAAAACATACAATAACAAAACTGTGATGATAATTTAGTGCCTCAAATCACAATAGTGCCCGAGATTAACTTCCTAGAAAACTCGAAGTGGCAGTGAGCAATGTCAAAATTAAAAAAAAATCTCAAAAATTTCGTTTCCGGGTTTTTTTTTATTTATTCAAAGGGGGATGTTTCTCAGAGTCTTAAACTATGTTAATCATCGATCGAGTTACCACTTGCTGCAATAACGGCCTCCACACGCTTCCGGTATGCACGGCAGGTTCTAATAATGTAGTCTGGATCCATTTCTCTCCTGGTACGGGTCAATATTTGTCTGAGGCTTGCTGTACTCGGGTGGCGTTTAGAACAGGCCTTGGCCTTCATGACGCGCCATATTGAGTAACCCAGCGGATTAAGATCGGGGCTGGATGGCGGCCACATATCCTTCGCCCAGAACGGAAGATGTTCCTGCAACCACTTCTGAGTGTGGTTCGAGGTGTGGCACGGAGCACCATCTTGTTGAAATAAAACATTTGGCTTCGGACCGTACTGTTCTTTGATCCACGGAAGAACATACTTACTTAAAATCCCGATGTAGACCTCCGTGTTGACCTTGTCGCATTCTGGAATGAACACCGAGTCCATTTGTTGCCATCGGAAGCCACCAATCCAAACACCATAACGCTAGCAGGATCCTTGGTCAGATACACGTTCTTGTGCTCGTCGGCCACGTCTTTTACCGGAAGAGAAATAATATACCGGTCGGTTCTGTAATTTGATACGGGATCGACGGTAAACATGCTCTCGTCGGTGAACAGGATTACCGGATTTTTTCGCTTAAGGAAGTTCAAGATTTTGTTGCATCGTTCGACTCGTAGCTACCGGATGCGGTTGGTAATCATATGAGTTTTTTTTTCCGTGCCCTCGACTTCGCCCCGCAATCTTCCTTTACGATCTTACGTGCCGTAAAGTCACTGATCCAGTGTTCCTTTGCCATTTTCCTTATTGAACACACTGGATTCACCCGAATCTTCCTTTTGATAGCAGCGATAACCCTCGGAACCCGAGCTGACCTCGGACGACCTGTGGCCACCTTCGAGGATAGTTGTCCTTTCTTTTCTCGGTCTAAAACCCTTTTGACGGTCCACCGGGACACGAAATGAAATGTCTTTTTGCGACATTTACGCGTGGGACAAATCACCAATAAGCTGGCACTTCGTCATGATGCAACTGTCAAACTAAGTAAATCGTTTTCTTTAATACACAGTCTACTACGGTATGAGCTATAGGTTACGTGCATGCAAAGAAAAACAAGGCATTGTATGCACAGGTGAAACGGGAACTTTATTTGTACGATGGTGCAAACATTATCACGCATACGGTATAAGCAGAGGTAGCTCTAAGACTAGAAGGTCCCGAAGAAACGTGCTCAACTTTTTGGCTGAGCTCTGGCACTCTCTTCGGTCCCAAGCTAATCGATTCACCCCTCGAAACATAGGAAAAACCACTAACCCCTCATTTTATCTGTCAAATTTCCAAACCTCCCCGAGTCATATGATAACAAAAGACTACCAGCTAAAATATGGACATAGCTGGGTGGCGTAGCCTGGGCAATGTTGCCAGTCCGGCAATAGCAAAGTGAAGAGGTGCGACGTGAACACTGGCGCGGTAAACATAGTACGGTGATAGAGGAAATGCTTCACCAAACCCGAGCGTCTGTTCACCATGGAGGTGCGGCTCAAAACGGTATCTGTTCTCCATGTTAGGAGCGGCTGATCACCGTCCTAGCAACAATCAATACGAAACTAACGATTTTAAATTAGCTCACTACTTGACTAGCCTATTGGTCCCAAGCAAACGATTAACGCACCCCATTCTAGTCGAAATTCTAGTACTGCACAATGTTTGTTTTGATTCGCTATGAAAGTTTGATAGATAAAATGAGGGGTTAGTGGATTTTCCTATGTTTCGAGGGGTGAATCGATTAGCTTGGGACCGAAGAGAGTACCAGAGCTGAGCCAAAAAGTTGAGCACGTTATTTCGGGACCTTCTAGTCTTAGAGTTACCTCTATGGTCCTAGTGCCAGCGTGGGACTCTAAACAGAGCTGTGCACGATGGTCCCCCGGCGAGACAGGGGGTTGGGACAGGCCCAACAAGCCGCCCTGGAAAAAACATAAAATTGCAAATACTGAAGAAAGAAATACGGATCGGAACAGACCTACGCGACGAAATAAGAACTACGATTGGAAACTCGGAACATGAAACTGCAAATCGCTCGGCTTCCCGGGCTGCGATAGGTTAATCTATGACGAACTTCAACCACGCAACTTCGAAGTCGTAGCACTGCAGGAACTTTGCTGGACGGGACAAAAGGCATGGAAAAACGGGCATCGAGCGGCTACTTTCTACCAGAGCTGTGGCACCACCAACGAGCTGGGAACCAGCTTTGTAGTGCTAGGTAAGATGCGCCAACGCGTGATTAGTTGGCAGCCGATCAACGCGAGGATGTGCAAGTTGAGGATTAAGGGCCGTTTCTTTAACTACAGCATCATCAACGTGCACTGCCCACATGAAGGGAAACCCGACGACGAGAAAGAAGCGTTCTATACGCAGCTGGAGCAGGTGTACGACGGCTGTTCGCAACGGGACGTCAAAATCGTCATCGGCGACATGAACGCTCAGGTAGGAACGGGAGGCAATGTATAGACCGGCAATCGGGCCAAACAGCCTGCATGCCGTATCGAACGACAACGGCCAACGATGCGAGAGCTTTGCAGCCTCTCGAGGAATGGTAGTTCGAAGTACCTTTTTCCCCCGCAAGGATATCCACAAAGCCACATGGAGATCACCTGACCAACACACAGAAAACCAAATCGATCAAGTTCTAATTCTAATCGACGGGAAATTCTTCTCCGACATTATCAACGTCCGCACGTACCGCAGTGCGAACATAGATTCGGACCACTACCTAGTAGCAGTATGCATGCACCCAAAACTCTCGACGGTGCATAACACCCGTCGAAGTCGTACGCCGCGACCCAACATTGAGCAACTACGGGACGCCGGAGTTACCCAGGACTACGCGCAGTAGCTGGAAGTTGCACTACCCACGGAAGAGCAGCTTGGCGCAGCTTCTCTTGAAGATGGCTGGAGGGATATCCGTTCCGCCATAGGTAGTACTGCTGCAGCGGCACTAGGTACTGCAATCCCGGACCGAAGAAATGACTGGTTGGACGGCGAATGCAAATTGTTAGTAGAGGATAAAACTGCAGCACGGGCGAGAATGCTGCAACACCGCACGAGATTGAATGTGGAGCGATACAGACAAGCGCGGAACAGACAAAACTCGGTTTTCCGAAGGAAGAAGCGTCAGCATGAAGACCGAGATCGCGAGGCGATGGGAAATCTGAACCGCGTAAACGACACACGGAAGTTCTACGATAAGCTAAATGGTTGGCGCAAAAGCTACGTGCCGCAAGCCGATATGTGCAAGGACTTGGACGCTAGCTTGGACGGTAACCTTCTCACGAACGAGTGTGAGGTGATTGAGAGGTGGCAGCAGTACCATAGAGGTAACTCTAAGACCACTGGGTCCCGAAGAAAATCATTATTATTTTTGGCTCACTCAGTACCAGAACAACGGTCCCAAGCAGTCCCAAGCTATTTCACTCACCCCTGCATGTTCTGCATAAATCCACACACCCCTGATGTTATCTGTCAAACTTTCATAGCGAATCAAAACAAACATAGTGTAGTAATAGAATTTCAACTAGAATAGGGTACGTTAATCGTTTGCTTGGGACCAATAGGCTACTAAAGTGGTGAGCCAATTTAAAATCGTTAGTTTCGTATTGATTGTTGGCAGTACTATGACGACTCAACGGTGAAGCAGCAGAAAACGAAGGTGGCACCGGCAACATACCTTGGAGCACGCGCAGAAGACAACAGGCTACCGGTTCCTGATCTTCAAGAAGTTGAGGAGGAGATCGGTCGACTGAAGAACAACAAAGCAACTGGTGTAGATCAACTACCAAGTGAGTTCTTAAAATACGGTGGTGAAGCACTGGCTAGAGCGCTGCACTGGGTAATTGCCAAGATTTGGGAGGAGGAGATATTACCGGATGAGTGGATGGATGGTGTCGTATGCCCAATCTACAAAAAGGGCGACAAGTTGGATTGCTGCAACACCTACACGAAACGAAAATCAATTATTTTATTCATGTGTTTCACTTATACATTTTTGGCATTACATCAGCCTTATACATTCCTTAATACAAACCACATAGGTCCTATAAGAATGCAGAAAATGTATGTGTGACCGCTTATACATTTCATTCAACACATGATCTTCATTAACTTTTTGCAAGGCGTCTGCTTATTAGTTGACTTATACATTTTATGAATAATCAGCAATAGAAATTTGCCAAAAGGTATAAGGAGATTTCTATCCGTGTATAAGGTACTCTCCAAAATTATATGCCGCCGCCTGTCACCATTGGCAAGAGAGTTCGTGGGGCAATACCAGGCGGGATTCATGGGTGCCCGCGCTACCACGGACCAAATTTTGGCGATTCGGCAGTTTCTGCAGAAATGCCGCGAACACAACGTGCCCACACATTATTTGTTCATCGATTTCAAATCCGCATACGACACAATCGATCGAGATCAGCTATGGCAGATTATGCACGAGTACGGATTTCCGAATAAACTGACGCGATTGGTCAAGGCGACGATGGATCGAGTGATGTGCGTTGTTCGAGTATCGGGGACACTCTCGAGTCCCTGTGAATCTCGAAGGGGGTTACGGCAAGGTGATGGACTTTCGTGTCTGCTATTAAACATCGCGTTAGAAGGTGTGATCAGAAGAGCTGGGATAGACAGGAGTGGCACGATCTTCAGGAAGTCCATCCAGCTTCTTGGCTTCGCCGATGACATTGACATCATGGCACGGAACTTTGAGACGATGGCGGAAACGTACATCAGACTGAAGGCTGAAGCTAGGCGGATTGAACTTGCCATCAACGTTTAATTTTCCACTCTATATTACGAAATTAGTTCAAAATTATTTAACTGACAGAACTCTGCAGGTAAATTATCAAAATCCAAATCTGAACGACTACCATGTAGAACGGGAGTTCCTCGGAGTAGTATTCTTGGGCCTATATTGTATAACATTTTCACTTCGGACCTCCCTGGTTTGCCTCAGGGTTGCCACAAATCTTTGTTCGCTGATGACGCAGGCATTCCCGCTAAAGGAATAAGTCTTCGTGTTATTTGCAGCAGACTGCAGAAAAGTTTAGATATTTTCTCTTCTTGTTTACAAAAAATGGAAGATTTCTCCCAATACTTCCAAAACTCAACTTATAATATTTCCACATAAGCCTAGAGCTTCGTTTTTTAAAACGAGTAGTAGTCACATAGTCACTATGAACGGAGCTCCAATTTCCTGGTCAAACCAAGTGAAATATCTTGGGTTAATACTTGACCAAAAATTAGGTCGATGGGATTTTTCTGAGGCATAAAAATCTCTGGTCACGTCTTCCTTCGGAAGGGAAGTAAAGCCTGGTCCCGGCCCATGTGTGTTGTTGAATGGGTGCGATATCCTACGCAGGTGTGGAAGCTGCCTTCCTGCACATTCGATTGCCGTCAATGGATGGCGATCGATGTCCGTCGGTGATTGGCACTAGATTGCGGAACAGAGACCGACGTAAATAAAGGAAAGAAGAAGAAGAAGAACTTTTAAATATCACATTGAGGGCATTCCAGCCAAATGTAACAAATATATAAAATGTTTGTATCCTCTTATAAACATGAAATCCAAACTTTGCCTTAAATAAGTTTTTAGAACTACTATGCTTTACGCTGTGCCAATATGGTCTAGTTTTTGCACTACCAGGAAAAAAGCACTTCAAAGGATTCAGGACAAAGTTCTGAAGATGATTTTGAAGTTTCCTCCCTGGTACAGTACTACCGAGGTACATAGAATTTTGAATGTTGAGACTTTGGAACAAATGCCCAACAAAATAATTAATATTTTCAGGCAAAAATCGTTGCAATCCTCAATTGCAATGATTAATTCCTTTTATACTTAGATAAGATTTAGTGCTAGTTTCCAGTTTTAAGATGTAAAAATGTTATACATAGGTATATTGCCGGTCTCTTTAATAAAGAAAGATAAAGATAAAGGTATATTGCCAAATGGCAACACTATGCATTTAAGGGTTAATCTGTTTCTGGCTGACAAAAATCTGTAAAATAATCTGTATAAATTCTATAGTATGATCTTACTGTGGATCGTCGTTAATATACTTTCATTTCATTTGAAGTTCAGAAATAGTTTGTTCATAATTTAGAATCTTGAAGGATGACTATTTAAAAGATCTCGAAATCCTGAATCTTGTTTTTTTTTAGTGTTTCGTATCTTTTTTAAAACCCCCCTCAACTCCAAATAATGAGAGATAAACCTGAAAAAAATTAGTGAAGAAACAATCACATTTTCGTAAAACTTGATTTTTTTTATATCCGAGAGTACGAAATTCTTTGTCAGGTCATTTGATTTTTTCGTATACAGATTTATCTGTAATGATACAGATTTTTCTCAAAATTTTGATATTGATATTTGTATGATATTGTATTTGATTTTTGCCACCATTTGAAAAACAACCGGCTCGTTTCAGGGCAACCAATTCAAAAACGGAAAGAGTTAAGAACTAAATGATCAACATATTTGTTCCGTCCACTTGCGGTCCTACGTCAAGCTTCCGTTCGTGCCCCTAGGCACAGACCCTTCTATTTTTATAATACCTTTATGGACACCGCCGTATTATGGGCCAGTCACTTCTGCGTGTCAATCAAATGGAACTGGCCCATAGTTGGGATCCATAATACTGTGGTGACTGTATACCTACTGATAATACGATGACAGTGTAATTCTAAAAAAAATAATCCATATTTTTGCATCAAATGACTTTATTCATCCATTAAAGTTTTATTATTTACAACTTATTAATAATATAAAACTTTGACAAGCAACCTACACAGTTATCAATAAATAATATACAATATACACTTCGACAAGTATGATAGTTTCACACAAACTTTAAAAATATCCTTATTTCATGTTTGGATCCATATTTAACTCAACACTGTCGTTAAGATTACTACTACCGCTTCCACTGCTATTGAAAACATGGTAAAATTTATTATTACCTTCAATAGAAGCATCACTCACGGCTAACGTCGTAGCAGTATTGATCGAGGATGACGCAGGTTTCTGTTGCGTTGTTACAACTTGTGGCCGTAATATTGATCCTGCAATATAATAATACACTAGATGAGATTTGTGTTACATGGTATTTTAATTAGATATTACCTTTTTGTTGACTATTCACAGGTATAACTTTCAACCGTTTTATATTGAAAGCTCCTCCTTGAAATCCTTGCGGAACAATTATTTGTTGCGTAACTAGCTGACCTCCTTGTGTAGCCAAAACTACCCGCTGTGTCGGTTGATTCAAACGGATACCAACTTTTTGAGTTGCCTTTAGTAATCAATAAGAAAGCAAGAAAAAAACATGTGTTAAAAAGCTGAACTAAATTCATTGTATCATACATAGGGGAAATGGCTATAATGTTGGCCTATGGATCTAAGATTGGGCCCATCGCTAAAAATCTGCTATCTGAATTTATGGGCCCAAATTAGGGACACTTAGGCCGACATTACATACATTTCCTCTATTGCATCATTTTTAGTTCAAATGAAAAACTATCCAGATCTCTTTGTAACGAGAATCATCAGTGCCCCACTGCACCCATGAGGGATTCCGTGACCTCTTGTAGCATGCAGAACTAACGACGTGAAAAATAAGGACAATAATAATTGTGAGCTCAGACGCGAAAACGCTGTGGCCATACCACGGCCGAAAGTATCGCAGTGTAAAGAATCAGTATGTGTATCAGCAAGGACTGTAGGATTTCACGGATGTACATCATTTCTCCATCGATAACCGTCAAGAGCTAAAATTTCTCAGTTTTCGTTGTGTCTTCTTTCGAAAACTTCTCTGTAAGCTGTTCAATAATTACATTAAAATCGTCAGTTTTGTTATCATGTAAGATAGCTTATACTGTACGCAGTTTTTCGAACCCCTTCGGATACGGTTGTGTTTAAAGTTTGCTCTCTGTTTTGTGCGTGCTTTCGCTTTCATAGCTTCCGCTGCATTTTCCAGATTAGCGCTGGCACTCTGCTTCCCGATCGGCTATACACGAACCAATTCATAACTTTTGCAAGCGGGTTCATGGCTTAGCTAAATATTTCCCGCGAAAGCGGAGCCAGATGTCAGTAGTGTGCTTTGGACAGAAATTTTATTGTTTTTGCTATCATCATTCATGTCGGTTTGTCGGTGCTTACACACCAAGTGTGCCTGCGATTTGCATTGCCTTCCGGGAGGCAGGTTTTCGGGAAGTGAGTTGAACACGGGCCAGTTGGAGAATTAGAGAAAAGTGTTGATAATGTGTCCGTCGTGAGTTTTGGTGGTGATTCGGTGGCCGAAGTTGCCGTGAATCAGCGAGTTCACGGTTTACAAAAGTGCTCGTCTGCTGGTCTCTCGCCAGTGTCGGAGATTGTGAGCAAGCTGAAGGATGCCTCGCTGGATACGTCTGGACGGGCGGTAGCTGGTGGCCGTGAACGGTTCCTGGGGAAAGCACTAGACGCGTACCTCCTCCCAGGTGATCATGGCAATGCAAGAAAAATGGTTTTCGTTGAAGGAAGTATTACCACCGGCAAACCGACATGAAAGATCACAGCAAAAACAATAAAATGTCTGACCAAAGCACACTACTGACATATGGCTCCGTGATCGCGGGAAATATTTAGCTAAGCCATGAACCCGCTTGCAAAAGTTATGAATTGGTTTGTGATAAAAAAAAATTAAAGGGTTGTGTCCTAGACACGACCGCAGTATGACGTAGAACCACACAAAATTGATGTTTTTCATGCATTTTTGACTATTATACTTTATCTTAAAATTTTCAAGTATTTCAATGTTTTGGTTATGGTTGACTCAAAACAATTTACACATTTTTCTTGACAAATATCCATGTGAAATTCCACATGATTTTCATTTGACCACACATAAACAGAATCCACTCAGAAGTACACATGGAATTTATACGCAAATGAATAGTATGTGTGGTCACGCATGGTTTTTATATGTACAAGTTTGAAAATTTTGGTGTGGGAAGAAATTAAGGGAAAAACTTCTGATTTTACTAATGATTGTGCTTTGTTTCAAATTTATTTCCCGGAAAAAAGAGATCGCCAAAGTCTGTGTCTTTGTCGGGTTATTGTTGAGGGGTGGGGGGGGGGGGGGTAGGAAAGGTTATTGAAGAATGGGGGGGGGGGAGAGATTGTTGTGAAGGGGGAGGGAGAGGGGTTAATGTGAAAGGGGGTTTACTAATTACTTTTCCTCATTGTGGTCACGCCGTGATCCACCTTTAGCCGCTGATTTGGTCCTGCTTACTGCAGGACCAAGTGCCACGCCGTCCGAAGCGACAATGAGCAAAAGCATGACAGCAGCGCTGTTTTATATCTTTTCAGATTCAGAACCTGATAGGATTTCCCGCAGTTTTTTATGAATGGGGCGGAGCAAAAAGTTTCTTTTGTGCAGAATATGTCAAATAGGATGGACTTTGGATGGTAATATAATTACATATATAGAGGCACCACATACGTTTCACCGTCAGTTGTGTGTAATTCACCAACTGAATGTCATCGAACATGTCTTTCAAGCAATTTTTTGTTCAAATTTGAAAGTTTCGGTGGCTTATTTCATGAAATCAGTGATATAATTATCATTTGTACATTTAAAAAAGTTAAATTACAGAAAAATTGGAAAAAATATTTATTTTAACAGGTTTGTAATGTAATATCCTATCGATTGGCGTATTTGGATTTTAATTTCATCTATAAATGACAAAGTTACAAGCGTTCAAAACCTAACACTCCTTCACCACACATATTTTTTTGATTTGCACCCCAGTATAGTCGACAAAGACGTAGTTCTACGTCAAAAACCTATGGTTTTGACTGTTCGGATCACTGCACATTTAAATCGGCCGTTTACGATTTTCGGGCATAAGTCACACACTACGAAAAAGTCGTGTAAATTTCGGTTCCCTAAGACCGACACATGTAAGCGACCCTTCTGACATAAGAATCAGTTGAAAGAAACGAGAAAATCAATTCAATCAAACGTTCTCTTCGTCGAGTTGCTCATGTCTCGGTTTAATAACACTTATTTTTACATGGATTACGTCTCGTGTAAAAGTAGTTATTTCTAAGTGTGCAGAATTAAGTGTCATGTCGGTTTGTCGGTGGTATTACAACAAAGGTAATTGCTATTAGATATTTTTGCAAACAGTGACAGATAGCAGACATGAAGCTCAAGTGGAGGTGCCGGGCATAGGTGTTATATCCTGGACAAATGGTAAGTTACAAATTCGCTGTTGTCGTCGTCATAGGCGCCGCCGTATTCCCTGTCGTAGTCGCGGTCGTAATCGCCGTCGTAGTCGCCGTAGGCAATACCGTTAGTATATTTAAAATTAACCATCAGCCGCTGAAACTATATTAATTATCGCGTATTTCTGTTGTTCATTACATATGTACCAAGTGAAAACTTAATCATATTTTGCCGTGGAGTGTTGTGGTTTTGAAATGCTCGATAACCCTAGAGGGATCGGTTTTGCTTAATGAGCAGAATATCTATCATGGGTTTAATCCCAAGCTTTCCCACAACATAATAAACCGCCATCGTTGAATTCCGAGAGCATAAAGTGCAGCTAATAACCAATAGTTTGAATTTTTTAAGCCGTGAGTTTAGGAAAGGGTGTATGTGAGCTAGTTTGGAAGACATTGTTGGCTGCTTTCAGAGACGATAGTTTTTGTTTAACTGCAGAAGGATATAAATCGTCCCGAGTACGAATTAATCTCCACGACTATCGACTGTCGTTAAAGTAGGCCTCAGAACTGGCCAAGTGCCCCCCAAAGTGCATAAGTGTTTTTATCACATATGGCTGGAGTAAATAGGATTATTCGGCTGAGACGGTTCCTTTTCGTTTGCTTAATTTTATTTGAAACAGGATTGGAATTTAAATTTAGGAGCTCGGCTAGCTTGGTAGCTGCCGCTTTTGCTTAATGAGTAGAAGATCGTGAGTTTACTCCCTAGCTCCTCTAGAACAAAACAATTACTATGGTCGCATCGCCTGCTTAAGCGAATCCTGACCCATCTCCTACCAAACTATCCAACTCCGTAGCATCTATGGGGGCATTGGTGAGTCGCTGGCCGCACGTTAAGTAGATGTTAAATCAACAATATCCTTCCTTTCCGCGCATGGTAATTGTCATGCGATTCCTGTTCTGAACTTTGATTGGAGAACTATTCAACCCCAAATAGTTTTACTTAAGCAATCAGAATAAGACGTTAAAGTTGATACATGGCAGTTGCCAGCATGCGAATTACTCCGTTACACACGCAACGCACGCACGCACGCACGCAACCCAACAGCATATTTCCTCATGGACTAACCAATGTTGAACTTTAAGTAAAATAAGAATAATAAATCCATTCAAATACTAGATATAGATCCGTTGAAAAGTTCAATATTAACGCTTTGCGAATATTCGGCAACATTGGCGTCAATTTTTTCTGCCGATGTTATTGATGGTACAGTTGCTAATGATTCTTGATTTGGAACATTCATGTTGATATCTTGTTCATCGCAGTTCGATAACTCATCGCTACTTGATAGTTCTGTATGTTTAGAAAACTGTATACGACAAGAATCGCAAATTTTGAAGTTGGCTCTCTTCCGCAAACCCCAGCTCAATCAATTTCTGAATATTATTATTGTTGTGAAGCTGGATGAATTTGGATTTGAGACCAGCATGTGCGCTCTACTGGCCACGGAACGGTCGACCGAAAAATCTAGAATATCCTTTTTTTTTTCTTTTTGATTTGTTTTCCGTCGATCTTGTTTTCCGTGCTGAGCACCAATGCTACCGACGCCAGGGAGGCAGCTCCCACACTTGGACCCTACCTATCGACCCATCAACTCATGAACCGGGGACCAACGGCTTTACTTCCCTGATCAGAGATGTTATGCCTCAGAACATCCCGGAGGCGCCGACTGGGATTGAACCCAGGCCTGCTGGGGTGAGAGGTAATCACGCTTACCACTACACCACCGGCACCGCTATCTAGAATATCATTAAAAGTGGTCAATTCGATCAAAATATTCTAAAGCTCCACTGTTTTTTTTTTAATGCACTCGTTGTGATGCATTTGTTTAGATCTAGAATTGGCATGCGCACTTTGCTGGCCTCCGGAATATTAAGAATGTCTGTAATAGTGGCAAATTCGTAACAAAAGATGCCAGAGCTCCGCGAATTTGTGGTAATTCTTTGTGGTGATGGAAGTTAATTTGATTTGATATTTTTTCAATCCCATCTACTTTCATCTCGATTGTTAAATCAAGATTTAAAGCTAAATAACCACTTCACTGTTTGACACAAAACTAACAAATTGACAGCTCGCTCCCACACAAAGTACCACCGAGGGGCGCTAAGACCACCTGTACCTGTATAGCCACCAGAGTGCACATCCTGGTCCCAAATCCAAATTTATTCGTACAGCATCACAACAAGTTGTTTCAAAATATTAAAGGATTGTGTCCTAGACGACCGCAGTATGACGTAGAACCACGCAAAATTGATGTATGTCATGCATTTTTTTCCTTGATTTGTGTTCCGTCGATCTTTTTTTCCGTGCTGTTTTGCATGTATAACTTTTTCGCGTTTCGGTTTAGTTAAACGGGAACCAAGTCTCATTCCAGCCCATTGCTGGTTGTGAAGGTGATCACACCGTGATCCACCTTTATCCGCTGACTTGTTCCTACTTGATGCAGGACCAAGTGCCACGCCATCCGAAGCGGAAATGAGCAGAGGCACGACAGAAGCGCTGTTTTATATCTTTTCAGGTTCAAGCAGAACGATGTGCAACCAAGTGGTACTCGATTATGACGACGGGGTTTGGGCAAAACGTTTATTTCATGAAAACAGAGATGAAATTATGATTTGTACAATTTTAAATGTTTTTTATGGAAAATTGAACAAATGTACACAATAGTTTAAAATATTTGCAGGACATAAAAATTCAAATAAAAAACTGCTATTATTTTGAACAATTTTACCAATTTTGTTTCACTTTCCAATAGGTGCTTCAAAAAATTTAGTATTTTGTAATCGTTAAATTGAACATATTTGTAGTTCTGTGGCGAACGTTTCAGCTCAATTGATCATAAGTTAACAATGTTACATCATGTCAAATTTGACCATTTTGTATAGAAATCGGCATGCGCTGCTATTATATTAAACACAACTGTAGATTACTATTTTTACAAATTCACTAGTTTTATCGCTTCGCTGTCCCTGGTCCCAGATTCAAACTCATTCATATATCATCATTGCAAGTGATTTAAAACAATTTTTAAATGAAAAACAAAAATGACATTTCATAAATAGCAACGCTTTAGTCGGTCGCTATAGCGTTACCAAATTTGATAACCCGCTGTTCTCCGAGAGGCAGATTGTTATTTCCCGCACTTGAATAGCAACCCCCGGTGCGGTTGCTGGGTTATGGTGGTTATTTATTTTTATATTTAAGAAGATATCATATAGTTGAGCTGCGAAGAGCATTTTTATGGTGAATTTTCGATCTTTCGGAAAAAAAATATTGTTGGAACTCGAGAACCGCGAAATACATTTGAAATTGGCCAAAACTTCCAACATTTAAAAAAGTCTACATCCGCTACATCTCGAAAACGATGCGACTTAGCAAAATTTTATACAAGTTCGTTTTTATTGTAAATTTGGTGTACTTTCAATATATTTTGTCGAAAAAACTAATTGAACCAAGTTTTGGATATTTTTCCAAAAACTTGAGTTTTTTCAAAAATCATAACTTTCATTAAAAAAAATTAAAATGCATTTTTTTTTTCAGAGTTCCCTACAACATTGCCGAAGGTACCAAACCGATTGAACAAAAATTTCTCGAGTAACAGTTTTCTGAAGATAAGCTTAACATTTTCCTATAAACCCTTTTCAAAATTAGGGCTCGATTTAAAATGGTGATCTGAAGATGCAAAATGGCATTTTTGGTCATGAGGAACGTTTCGTTTTCGAGGTTTAGAGGATTGAAAGTAGATTTTTTTTTAAGTTTGTTGTTTTTGGCCATTTTCGAATGTATTCTCCAGTTCCGACAATATTTTTTTCCTGAAAGATCAGAACATGTACCATCCCTTGGTGGCTCATCGATATGATCTATATTATCCGGAATATGTGTATGTTTTAAAACAATTTGATTCCAGTTACTGAACATTGAGTTTCATTGTCAATTGTCAATTCAATTCAGAGAAAAAATATCCACGCACCATGTTGGGTTTGATCATGGTCTTCAAGTCTATTCTAAGTGTTATAAACCCCTTCAAGACCACAATAAAATCTCAATTTTGTTACTTGGGTAAGCATCCTACATCGAATAGTAAGACAAATACAGCATTGATAAGATGATGCAATTTGCAATGCTTATTTTTTTCCTATATTCCTATATTTTCCGGACAGCAGAGGACATCAAGGCCTTAGCCCTTAGCCTGATTGGTAAGATAAGTGAGATGACCCATCTTGCCCTACCTTACCCTATTCGAAGTTGATGTTGAACTCGGGCAAGTTTTACATTCGGGATAATGACATTTGGGCTATTGGTATTCGACCTATTATTATAAGGGCACCAGTTGTACTGAGCAATATGACGTATCTAAAACTACACTGAAAAAAGTTTTCACTTAGTTTCTATTAGAAACGCAAATAATATTTTTCCAATAACAAAAATAATGATTTTTATCTGAATAGCACATAGCATAAGAAATTCTATATGAGAAATCATATAGATTTCATTTGACACATTACGTTCATGTGATTTAGTGGTGCAATTGCCAATTATGGAATCACATGAAAGTTATGTAAAATTCACATGGATATTTTCCACTGGTTGTTATTTATTTTATGAGTGCTTTTAGTCGTTCTGGTGTGTACTTACCAATGGTACACATTTACAATAACCCCAAAAGAGAAAAATACAGACAGAAATCTTTAAAAATAAAAATAAACATACCTTTACGGGTGTTGCTAGCATTGTTGGCTTTGGTGAGACATTAGTAAGCAAAGATTTTTCTTGTTGATCTATGGTGATGCCTTGAGTTTTGACTACACTGATTCCAGTACTTGTACCCAATCCTGTGCTTACTCCAGGTTGCTGTGCAAATGAAATTTGCATTTGATGTGGTTGGCGGGGAACTGTTCGTACTTTTACTAATTGATTACTCAACAATAGTTTTTGCGGCGTTGTGTTGCTGCCTTGTTGGGCACTAACTATGTTCACGTGACCCTGTTGCAAAGAAATTAAACATAATTCATCATCATTTTTTTCCGAGTGACGAGCTCATTTAAAAAATACCTGTGAAACGATGTTGCCTTGAACCTTGACTGCTTGTCTACCGTATACGATGTTGGCAGATTCAGTAGAAACGGGTGAACTTTGAAACACGGAGCTTGTACTATTGTGCTGAATGGTTTCTGACCTGATCGCTGGTTTGCTGGCTATTATCAACGGATTTCCACCAATAGTCGCAAAATTTATCGAGGACGAGTTGATAAAACTAAGTAAGAAAAAAAATGGTTATAACCACATTTTCACCATCCAAATGGCACATTCACATTTGCAAATACATAGGCTCTAATGTTGGCCTATGGATCTAAGATTGAGCCCATTGCTAAAAATCTGCTATTTATCATTGGGACGGTACTTATCGATATTGAAAATTTAGTCGATTGCTGAATTTATGTATGGACCCAAATTAGGGGCATTTAGGCCGACATTACATCCATTTACCCTAGGGCAGAAATATATGAACGAAAACAATAATTAACCGGTTTTTAAATAACTCAGCAATGCCAATCATTAAATTTATTTTATCAATAATTCTACAGATTACTAACCTAATGCATAGGGTTAGTAATTGGTAATACATATACAAATTGATTGAGGCAATGCCGAGTTTTTCAATACTATAAATTCGCTTGTTATGCCCTAAATGCGGTAAGGTGGGGCAAGATGGGTTATCTACTTCATTTATTTATATTTGTATTTGTCAACATCAACAAGCTCGGTGTATTTAGCCCCAATGCTGATTTGAAAAAGCAAGCAATCATTGGGGTTGCTTTAATCCTGTTGATATTGACAAACAAATAAATTAATATAAATGTGCTATCTTGCCCCACCTTATCCTACGTACAGTTAATCATATAAATTTCATTGGACACATAAGGTTCATGTGATTTTGTAGTGCGACTCCCAATTATGAGATCACATGAAAGTTATGTGAAATTCAAATGGATATTTTCCTTTTGAAATGTGATTTATTTATTGAGTGTAGGCGTTTCAGTTAGCCTATATATTTACCTGGTTCCATTCCGAACCTTCGCGGACAGCATCTTTGTTGTACCGGATAATTTCGTGACAACTTGAGGAACGTTTTGTTGTTGCAGCTGGCCTTGTGCCGATTGAACAGACTGTATTAAATTAGTACCAGTTTCCGCGCCATTTCGATGCGCAATGGATGTTACAGGTGTATGACTTACACTTGTTACCGTGTTGTGACTTGTGGCAAGTATTTGGGTTGTCTTAGGATCTGAAATATAATAAAAAACACTTACAGATTCATTCGTTCATGACATATGATAACACATCTCATCGATCGATTAACGGTATTGTACCAACTTAACACGCAGAGAAGTTGATTTTAAATTCAACAAAATTACTATTGACTCGCAATTAACAATATTTTCTTTTAGATTCAAACACAAATTACGATTATTTCAATAAACAAAACGATTGTATACACATCGGAAGATCAGTGGGATACAGGTGGTTGTAATGAATAAAACGTTAATATTTGTAACATTTTTTACCCTCAGTGCAGTCATCCACAAAAAAACCGGTTTTTTCATCACAATCCATAAATTTGAGAAAAAATTAACATCTTTTGTTCTATTGGTTTGAATAGAAACTAAGATTTCTATTTTTTTATTACGAAAAACCTTGTAGGAAGGAAAGGGTTAACAACATACATACCTGTGAATCTGCTTGCAGTGGTTGTTATTATCGTTGGCGTAGTACAATGTCCGGACGATTGAGCAACTGAAATTATGTTACGGTTCTGAGGAACAACTGCATATTGAGCGATTGGTGATCCAGCAGGGCCGCTACTTGATAAGTGAATCAATTGGGTCTTCATTGTTTTAGGCTCTGTCAACCTTATAGCTGCATCTCCTATTTGCTGTCTAGGTAACAAACTGTCTAGTGACACATATTGATTTTCACCCACACCTTTCACGACTTTAGCCATGACATGAGGAGCACCCTGAGTAACGTTCACCGTACGTATCACGTTAGGTGATGGATGCACTATGGATGCAGCAGATTTCATCATGTGTGTAACTGACGCTCCAGAAACTGCCGATTGTACCATAGTGGATGCAGACTTTGACATCTCTGATAGAACGTTTACATTGGATGATGTTTTGACTACATTTATTTCTTGGACATCATTTTTCAGTTGTAAATTTGCAGATTTAGCAATTAAGGATTGTTGCAGTTGTTTGGCCTGGGAATGCTCCTTGAGAGTTGTGATAATTGGTCGGATTTTAGCGCCACTTGTACTACTGAGCATATTACTTGCTGATTTAATCTGTATTACGTGAGGATTACCGACATTCGACCCAATGGTTTGAAACACTGTCGAAGTACCTCTGGTATTAGATGACGAAAGAGTAAGAGCAGGGATTTTTTGCAATTGTCTTGCCCCTTTGACATGATGTATGCCCTGTGCATTTGTTGTTACATTAGAAGAATTTACAAAACATGTTGTATTCGCATTTGATGTTATAGATTGGCCTATAATTACTGATTTAGATGTAAAAACCTGTTTGTTTTGCTGGGCAAGTAAATTTTGCAAAATTTGCTTCTGCTGTGCGGGAGTCAAAACAGACTGTTGTCCCTTAGGCATTGTTATTGTGTTGATGATGTCGACTCCCGAAGACTGTGTTCCACCATCCGTTTTGAGCAAAACTGCCGCAGGTGATGTTGTCTACAAAGAGAATGAAATTCGTTGTGTTCCAGATCAGTTACCTATCTAGTGAATGATTCATATTCAAAAATAAAAGTGTTATAAAAAACGTATACTGTCCATAAAAGCATAACTGACCCATGTTATGCTTTATGGGCAGTATAAAGTAATACAAATTCAATTAAATATGCCATGAGCAGTCATGACTGACCGTGAACAGAAACAGGACAAAAGAGCTGAAACAGCCGAAAAGACACTGAAAAAAGTGTCACGGAGAAAAGTTTGCCGAAGCAGTAGAATCCGAATCCGTGTACGGACTTGGGTATAAGATTGCATGTTTTATCAGTTTTAAAGCTTGCTTCCAGTCTACAAGCAGTGATGGAAAAGATCACGATAAATCACTATGAGTAGCGAACTTGTCCTTTGGTGATCTTCGTGACATATTGCAAACACTGCCATAAAACCCAAATTGTTACTTGTGGACAGTGATGCAAAATATCATGACACTCACGGTCTCACCGATACTCGTCAACGCATCAACCGACTATCGCTGATAGAACGTTTTGTCACGCAAAAGAGAGGTAGTGGCAAACAACAATCACCAGTAATGGTCTTTGCTCACAGGCAAAACGTAACACTCGCTGCAGATGTTGAAAAGCACCACAACGGAAACAGTGAAGACTTCTGCAGATTAAACGACAGAAGAAAATGAAAACAATGCCTTCGCATTCCAAGTTCGGCTCGACAGGCGCAAAATTAAACGGAAACTGTTGGACTCACTCACCAACACACTCACATAAGCAAGCAAAGCAGCAACTGCTTCAAAACGAGCACGGATGAGTGTCGTGATTGTCGGGAATGACCAGATCAGTGATGGATCACCACCGAAGACGACATTCTCCAGTTGCGTTTTACTTCTTTCGTCAACTTGATGGATGGTCATGGAGAGTGCTTCGACAAGCACATTGATACACTGAGAAAACTAGAATTAAGATTTTTATAATGCGTTTCGTATGAACGAGCATTTTGAACTGTGAAAATTATTTCATACGACACGTATGTTTTCCATAGCAGGCTTATACAAATTGCACGTCTCAATTATGATTTTCATACGAAACGCGTTTGAAGTTCATACGAGACTACAATGAACTTTATTAGTTTACCTTGTGTGAAACAAATTATACGTCGTTCGTATGAAACGATCGTATGACGTTTGTTCAAAGCAAAACAATATGGCGTACGAACAGCAATTATTTTCGGATCTCAAGGTTCCAGTGGATGCTTTGCCTGTGTTCAGAGGTAAAAAACGCTAAATTCAGTGTAAAAGGATGTTCCGGGTACAAAATAACATCTATATTACTATTTAATCAATGAATTTCTATTAAAATTACAGAGTGTGGTGTAAATACGGCAGCCTTAATAACGTGGACCAAGCAAAAGATATTTCAGGCATTGTCTCGTGCTAATATAAACTAATATATTTTTTCAATTGATTTATTTTAGCTGCAGGTTAAATCAAATAAACAATGCAAATCAAATTATTTAATTATTTGTTTTACTAAATTAAATTAATCTCACATGAAAAATAAAACAAAATCTGAAGGACTATTAATATTCACGGTTTCATAGTTGATACGATTATATTCCGTATTCCACTCATTCAAAATCCATATGAATGAAATATGGTTTTCATAAGCATAACGTACTATTTTCATACGACAGCTTTATGAAACTTATATCAATATATAGCGAAAATCATAAGCGATAACGAAGGCGTGCGTCTATAATGCTATCGTATGAAGTTCAAAACAAATTCTTTTGGTTAAAATCCATAAGCATTTCGTATGAAATTCGAACGAAATATTTCCTCAGTGTAGGAATGTACCAAGCGTTACTACCATCAGCTTATGATAGGTCACAACTCTGCTTGTGAATACGCCAGGAGAAGAGGAGAAGCTCAAAAAACGCAAGGATGACCTAGACAGCAACAACTTGCATTGAAAGGATTGTCGGCGAAGGCAGTGGATGGCGTACACGGAAAAGGCAAAATAATCAATATAAGGGAATATTCCCTTCTTTTTAAATAAATAAATAAGAAACACACCACCCGAGCAGGGGAAAATAACGAATGAATACCTTATTCTGATCTGATACCAACATTTGGTATTGACCAGCATGACATAAGATGTAAAATACCAAAGAATAATACAAAAAATTACAAGCAAAATACTTTGTAAATAACAAAAAAATATATTCGGGTACCAAAACAATACCTGTGTGGTATTGTTTTGGTATTTCATGTCATAATTTGGTATTGGAATGGTATGGTGGGATTTTTTGGTATTTTACCTCTTATGTCAGGCTCATCCTTACCAATTTACGGTATCGAGATATTCGTTCCTGCTCGGGTACAGTGATAACGATCGAAGAATAATGATTGTTTGTACACTCTATTCAAAAGTCCGTACTGGCGTAGGCTATTACAAATAAACAACGAGCTGGATTCGCTCTCTTTACTGCGCAGACAGTAGAATACATAAGTGTTTCGCTATTACTCCCGAAATCTAAGTTAAATAATACTTTGTTGGACCATTATAGACACTTTGTTATAAATTATTAACTTATAATATATAAAATTTCCTTCTTTATTGTACATTTCATTAATTATTCGAAAAGCTAATATTTCCATCTTTATTAAATACCTACTTATTCAAAGAAGAGAATATTCCCTTCTTTATTAAATATCCGAAAAAGGGCCCGTTTTTTTGGTATATTTTTGAAGTAGGGAAAATAAAATCACCTAAAGATAGAGACCAAAAATGGTAAATCCCTTGGAGTCCTACATTGGTCCATTAAGAAGTTTTCATTTTGTTTTGTTATAAGCGGAATAAGAAAATATTCCCTTCTTTAGATAACGTGCTCTATCCACACCCGTATATTAATTTCAGGGAAATGGTTACACCATTCAATGTCCAAAGTAAAAACGATAAAAAGAAAGAGAAGAATAAAAAAGACGAAGAAAAAAGTGAAACATGAAGGATAAGAGTAAGCGCGACGCTTTGATAGTCGTGGTAAACGGTAACATGACGTACTGAAGTGAGAGATGATCCAGAGCTGAAGGAACTAGATTACACGCAGATAATTATATTTTAATTTCAACAATATTCTATATTGAATTCAATAAAAAAAATCGTTGTCTCCCGGCTAATAATAAATATTGTTGACACTAACATTTTTTTTATTGAATTCGAAGAAAATGATTTTTATTTTTAAATTATAGGTCAAATTTTTTTTTTCAATGGCGGAACAATTTTTTAAATAACATTTTTTGTTTGTTGAATCAAGAATTTGTCAAGAGCTGTTTCATGTAATTTTAATTTCAAAACACTGTCAGCCTTGTTTAAATATTCGAGTCTTGCCATTGTGATGAAGATTTCCATATTTTGAAGTCTTAAAACTAATCAATTAAAATTCTTGATTTTTACCGAACAGTTCAATTGTTGCATGTTCGGTAAAAGTTACCGAAGTCGGTAGTTATTTCTGAGTGTGTAGATAAAAGCTTTTTTTTATCGATCTGTGTGCTGAAAATACCTGGAAATGTCATGACCTGGGATACAAAGAGAAAGTCGACGAAGAGAATCTGTCAATGTTACTTAGGACCTAATGCAATGTTCAGCTTGAATTTATATGAGAAGTGACTTGTATTAGTTTGTGTAATAAAGGGTTAACAGCCCAAACTTACCAAGGTATTGCTGCTACTGGAACTGACACACGCAACTTTTTGTTGCCTGTTTGTAGCTACAACGTATGATTCCGGCTGAACCACGCACTTTCCTGTTGAAGGTAACTGCGACAGCAGAGACATTGAATGCTTCGTTTGAAGCAACGAAGTAGCCTTCACCGTAACGGGTGTTGGTTGTTGAACACTTTGCACTCGATTCGGTTTCGAAATGCTTATTTGACTAGTTGACGGTACCAATCTTGCACGCGCACCTCCGCTTTCCGCACTGAGAGTTACCGGTACAATAAAACTATGCGCAATACGATCTCCATCGCCTACTGATCCGGCCATTGACACCTGCACCGGGATTCCACCGGAAATGTTGCAAAAGCTTGCTACCGTGCTGGGTGTTGAACTTATCACTAGAGGCTTTGCAGGGACTGTTGTTGTGATAATTTGTTTTGCCAATATAGACTTCGTAGTAGCAATATCCGGATTGGTGTCTGAAGCTTGTATCGGCTTGGTCGCTCTAACAATAGCATGTGGTTGTGTATTCGACAATTGGACAGCTTGAATCTTGCACATTGAATTCATTCTAATTGGTACAGTTTCCTTGTTGATTTGCGACACGATGGGTGAACTAGTACAAACAGTAAATTTAGAAGAATCTTTTTCCTTGAGTTCAATCCTAGAGGATGATTCTTCCGATGGCTGTGTATGTTGCATCACTGGATTATTTTCTTTCGATGTGTTTTGTGGTACGGCCACCTTTTGCGATAATATCAGAGATGGTAGTGAACTGCTATTAGGTGTTTTATCGCTTGCAACAATCGTAGTTACATTGGACTTAACCAGTATTGACGGTGTAGTCACCGAGATAGGAGATTCAATCATATTTGTCGACATACTACCAATCTCAGGTGTCGGTTCACTATGAAGACTGTCATTTTCCAGCGATGATTGTGAATTACTCTTCATAAGAGGCTCAGAAACTGCCTTCCTAGGTGTGGCTCCTGTTGCTTCCTTTGGTTTACTCTTTCTATATACTGGTTTCTTGTGCTTGGCAACGCCTTGATATTGATGGTGAAGTCTTTCAAATTCCTCCTCAGTACGACTACGGTGTAAATATATCCAAATTTTTCGCTTGGTGTCATATTTCACGCATGGATCATGCTCCGTGTGCATACGATCGAGAGCTCCACTTACAATGGTTTGCAACACTTGATCTGTTGCCGTTGGGGATATGTACTGTGAAGATTTTAGTAACTCACATATATCGGCTCTCGTTCCTTCACCGTTAGGAAGTCTAGCGGTTGCGTCGCGAACTAATGTCAGAATCGTAACGAAATTTGGTCTATCCGCAACCAGCATGTTATGACCTCGAGCTTTCGATATTCCAGGGACTTGTGTGTAAATACCTTTAACGGGGCCGACAACACTGTTATAAGAATGTTGCTTGTACGTAAACGCCATATGTGGATTTTCATAACGATTTCTTTCCTGCTCCCGAAATAATTGGACTTCTTCATCAGTTGCCTTCCTTACAGACCAATCGGTAGGGTACCGTGGTGGGGGTGGCGACATTGTTCTTTCGGATGAACCATCGTCATCTTCTACAGTGGTGCTACTGTTTGATGAAGCGTACTTTTGCTTGGAATTTGCAGTTTTTATTGGTTTTGATTGTATTCTAATACCCATCTCATGCCTCCGACGAAGCCAATACTGACAGAGATCCAAAAGACGGTGATCTGAATCCCTGGAGGCTCCTATCCATTGGTATATGTTCAACTGAACCTTATGCTCGATGTATGGGACAAAGTCATCCGGTTGATCTGAAAATTCACCCGAAAGAAAGAGAATTGCAGATTGGAGCATATCGTCCCACTTGTCGTCAGCCTGTAAATACCAATCGTTCAGTGCTGCAATAGGCGTTTTAAGCCAAACGTTAAGCTTTATCTGCAAGTCATCAATAGTCAAACGATGATCGGGAGTAGAGCAGAACATGTCACGTAAGAGAGACAAAAAACATTTGTGGGTTGCCTGCATTAATTCTGGCATGGATTTTTCATAAGACGATTTTTCAAAGCTGTGTAATGTGGATTGTCCTGAAGCATTGTCCTGCTCCTGTTCGTCAACGTTAGTTGTTGCATGATCTTCGTCTTGAGCTTTCACCAACAGTAGAGAGTTGTTATCTTCTTGTGTACATGATATCTGAATGTTTTCTATATTCGGAGTTGATCGCCCGACTGGGTCGTCTGTTTCAATTTCAATCTTATCCGGAATTTGGGATTCTTTGATTGGCCTAAAAGAATCGATCATTTCCGATGAAACATCCGCGTTACTATCCGTATATTCATCCATCAAGGCTACCGAATGCGCAGAAGTATTATTTTCACCGACATCAGAAACGCCTAGTTCTTTGATTTCCGTACTACAGTTTTCAATTTCTCTGTCTGAATCAAGGCGAATGGTTTTAATGTACACTTCTGGTTCACTGGCTGCTCGAGACGAATCTGCAGTATGATTTAAGGATATCGACTCGTCTGAGTTGCACACATCGAGCACGTTCTTATCAGCGCTCTTCATCATATCGTGCACTGATGATTTCGTTGTTGATATCTTTAAATCACCCAATGAGCAGCTCTCAGGGTACGATGGAGTAGATGTTGTATTATTACCCTGACATTTGCTCAGATTTATCTTCTCTTCAGCCGCGGCCAGCGTTTCTTCAGCTACATTTACTTTTGGCAATGGCATTATACGGCGGTATCCTGATGAAGCTTGCGTTCGAACAACAACATCCTTTAATTTTATTTCCTGACAATCCAGATCCGGATGATCCTGAAAAATTAAAATCAATACATATTTTAGTCACTACTTGTGGACATAACATTACAGAGGATTTTGGATACTAACCGGTTCTTCAAACTTACGGCGCTTATGATGGACAAGAAGATCTCGGTAGTGACTCTCCGCTATTGAAATTTTTCCATTCGGTCCAACTAGGTATCCAGTCGTTGTTTGTTCATCCTTGAAGCCTAGTGTGTTCACAATTCGTACATCTGCGCCGGGACTAGCTGCACCTCCCTAAGGAAAATAAATAATCACGATTAAGGCAACTTACTTTGTATGTTTGTGTTTCTGGAATCATGAACCGCCCACTTTCTTACTTTCAAGTTTATTGTTCTTCAACATAGAAAGAAAGAAGAGTTTCATTTGAAAAGAATTCACCGTGGAAAACAAATCAGCATCGAGCAAACACACCTCTTTTGCAGATGTACCAGATTCTGACATAGGTTCAGAATACAAGCCATGGAAAACTTTGGAAACATGATCTAGTGACACATTCTACTTGACGTTACAACGGTTTTGGCCTGTTTTACAGTATATTAACTGATAAAAATTTAAAGCAACCCCTAAATATTATTGCAGATTTGGAAAGTGCGTTACATTTCTTATTAGTTTCTGGTTTGAGCAGCTCAAAACGCTTTGGTGAGTAGCTGTTAAGTAGTGTAGTTGAGAAATACAAAACGTTACATACTCGCTCATCAAATCATTTTGAGCTACTCACAGGGATGGAAAATAATTTACTATCATTTCGTGCATTCATTTACATTCATTTGGCTCTAACTTTTTTCATCAATAGAATACCGTAAAATGATGTATTATGTATATTAACTACAACTTTGGTTAATAACTAAAATCTGAATCTCTTATGCATGACGAAATAGAGCTGGCAGAACATGTTATTGTTTTTCAGTGAATGCAATTTACATTCACTGAAAAACAATGGTGGGTTCTTATCATTTTCATTTTCATTTTGCAGCGCAGGGTGGGGTAGTAAGAGCGCAAGTCAATCCAAGGCCGATAGTAAAGGAGGGGTAATGGCTGACATGCAGGCTACATGATCGCCATGGGAAGGGATAATGATTAGATTGAGGTAGGTGGCTGGATGTTTTTTTGGATTGAGATGGCCACGATGCTACAAAATGATATGGAATTTGTAAGCTGGAAATAGTTTGAAATTTGAATGAGTTATTTAGAATTCATTACTGAGAGTTCTGCTCTGCTTTGAAACAGAACACTGGATTCCGTGTGTATTGTTTAAAGATAGTTATGGAAAAAATGATGTGAAGTGTGCGCGTAGATACATCCGCGTAGTAAACCGATTGAATAAGTAAATCCGGTTCAAACGAAATATCTAAATTATGTATGTCACGAAAACCGCGCGAATTCCGAGAGCCGTGTGAAACAACCGAAACGAGAAAAAAGGCTTATTACCATTTAAAGAGTGCCAAAATAAATGTGATAGCAAGTTGATTAATTTTGGTTTCCTCCCTAGATATTCTACTTATTTACTACTGATCTTTGTATCAAATTAGTTAATTTAAAGAACGTATCAATCATTTCAAGATTTCGCGACCGTACCGAACAAATTCTATACTACATAAGCTCAAAAGCCTTTGACAAGCTCTACCGAATTGCGCATCACCTCTGCGTAAGCTCCGTAGACGTAGGCGCGTTGATTCCGACAGCCACCAAAGGTTCAACCTGCACCAAAACCGCTTAAGGAACGACCTCGACCTCAGTAAAACCGTTTAGAGCCAAACATCTAAATGACGTAAGATATGAAAATCGCGCAAATTGCGAACGCCGCGCGAGACAACCGTAGAGAAAAAAAAACAGTTTATTATCACTTAAAGAGTGCCACCATAATAAATGTGATAGCCTATGTTGGCAAGTTGATTAATTTTGGTTTCCTCCCTAGATATTGTTGATTCCGACAGCCGCGAAAAGTTAAACATGCATCAATATCACATACCAACGGCTTTACTACTTTTGATTTTGACCTACACCTATTTATTATATTTTAGTTCGACCCAGGTCACACCTTCAAGTGACTAAAATGCTGCATTTAAAAAGTTAGTTTCCTAGCTGATATTTAAATTATATAGGGTATATGCTCCAACTATGCTCACACGCTTCCACTATGTCACACCACAAAAAAACGTATGAGTGAGTATGTAAGAATAGAAGCACGCCACAGTGGAAATCCCGAGCCATAGTTCAAACACTTATCCCAAATCAAAATGAAGCACATATACGATTAGTTACAATACCATGTACAAAAATAGTATTTAACATTGTTCCCTGAGTAAGACCTCAATGAAAACAACAATGAAAGCTTGTCACGTAAACAGAAGGAGCACTGTTGGGCACTTTCTGAAATATTTCAATAGTATAATTCCCTTGCAAACCCAAATAAATCTATCTGCGTAAAAATAAATAAAATAAGAGTGATTTGCGGCAAAACCCGCCAGTATCGTACCCAAATTCAGTGCCTATACGTAAGCGTACTACAAGGCGACTCTCACACAAAGGAGTAACAAGTGTGATATTATCACTGCTGGACTAGATCTTTGGTATTCTCATGCAGTGGTTCATCAGAGAGGGGAAGCTTAGTAATCCCCATCGCCTGCCCATGGCGCCATTCTATCGCGGCATGAGCCAGCAATGCCGGCCATAAACCTACCGTCTCCAACACTCCACTATGAAGCCTGAAATTAAGCCCGCCCACCAGCAACAAGGTGCAAAAACTAGCCAAGGGGAGGGAAAAAACAATGGTGGGTTCTTATCGCTCTAATTCATCATGCATCCACTATCAATTGGCATCTACTTTCATATTATGTGATAAAACTATTGATGATATTGATCATGAAAAATGTGAAAACAACATCAGGTCAGTTTGTCCCATCAAGCAAAATAATCGCATAGCAGTCCCTTCCTGAAATTCAATCGCCCATAGTTCAAGTTAAAGGTCTGCTATTTGAATTGCCATTCGCTAATATAACAAATAAACAAAACATGCATGCTTCATTGCAACAGATTTTAACTTGAAAAAATTATCAATTAATTTACTATTATTTATCAAATATTTACATGGAAATTGCACTTCGTAACTTCGACTGCCATTTTCTCAATGCCTATACTTTAGTATACTTTTTCCAAATGGGACTGCTATGGGATTATAGGCAGAGCAAGAGTCCAAAAGAAGGAAAAATACCAAATGATATTTTTCCTACCTGGGATCATGAGCTATTCTTTCAAATTTCGTTGAATAACCATTCGAAGTTTGCTGCATTTCAGTATGGAGAACCTCATCTACTTCGATTAGGCTGATGACGTTGGCGCTCTGATATTATGGTTAATAATCCTTTTTTTTTCAAAATACATTAAATAATAGTAGATCATAGATCTTTAGTAGATCTTTCGTATAATTTTTATAACCAGATCACCATAAATGCAGGGCTTTTACAAGATTTTCTAAATTTGATCAGCGAAATCCGTGATTTTTCAAAAGAAATCCGCTAATTATTAACTTATTAAATTAACTGTTTTCATTGCCAAAAAATAGAATTTGTATACTACTACATGGCATTTCAAGATACTACTTATAGCATATTAGATTTTTGGCTGCTTTCAACTTAGTGTTCTTTGAAGTACTTTCATATTTTAATTGAGAGCATTCTATATACTTTCATATTTTAACTAGAGCTTGCTATGCCCAAAAAAATAGAGAAATTTTCCAACCCGAAAAATTAATAGACCGGACGGGAATCAACCTCAGTCGCTTCCAGAATGGACTTGCTTTGTAGCTGCGGCTTTACCGATTGAGCTAAAGAAGTATCGTTTGTAAACTTTGATTTTTTTTAAAATAACAATGTATCATCTTCAGTTATTTATGTATATTATAAATTCTGAGAAACTAGTGAACATAATAAAACACCCGTAAATTATGAGATTCTATTGAAAAATACCGACCTAGATTTGATGAAACATTATTTAAAAAAAATATAATGCATTTTCATTTGTAATGCAAATTTTCTTGAAAATTACCTTTGCGTCTCTGACGTATTTTGCTGTCCTAAATGTTGTAGTTAATTTGGCTCTAGTTTTCTCAATCTTTAACCGATTCAAACCAAACACCCTGCACATAATCAAGAAATTACCAGAGTTTCATAAGTCACTTTTGTTGGTCACGTCGCGGTTGTGTATTTACACGGATATTCCTTGGGTTCTGTCCAATGGTGAGACATTTTCATTATTTATTTTTTTCTAATGTGAACCTAGCACTTTTCGTTGTCAAATCATAACCGGATCGTATATATGTGACTTTGTGGATCATGCACGACTTTTTACTGTGTATACCGAAAATTATAGGTTTTCCAAACCGTCTAGAACATCAGTTGATTTGTTCTACTACACTGAGAAAACTAGAATTAAGATTTTTATAATGCGTTTCGTATGAACGAGCATTTTGAACTGTGAAAATTATTTCATACGACACGTATGTTTTCCATAGCAGGCTTATACAAATTGCACGTCTCAATTATGATTTTCATACGAAACGCGTTTGAAGTTCATACGAGACTACAATGAACTTTATTAGTTTACCTTGTGTGAAACAAATTATACGTCGTTCGTATGAAACGATCGTATGACGTTTGTTCAAAGCAAAACAATATGGCGTACGAACAGCAATTATTTTCGGATCTCAAGGTTCCAGTGGATGCTTTGCCTGTGTTCAGAGGTAAAAAACGCTAAATTCAGTGTAAAAGGATGTTCCGGGTACAAAATAACATCTATATTACTATTTAATCAATGAATTTCTATTAAAATTACAGAGTGTGGTGTAAATACGGCAGCCTTAATAACGTGGACCAAGCAAAAGATATTTCAGGCATTGTCTCGTGCTAATATAAACTAATATATTTTTTCAATTGATTTATTTTAGCTGCAGGTTAAATCAAATAAACAATGCAAATCAAATTATTTAATTATTTGTTTTACTAAATTAAATTAATCTCACATGAAAAATAAAACAAAATCTGAAGGACTATTAATATTCACGGTTTCATAGTTGATACGATTATATTCCGTATTCCACTCATTCAAAATCCATATGAATGAAATATGGTTTTCATAAGCATAACGTACTATTTTCATACGACAGCTTTATGAAACTTATATCAATATATAGCGAAAATCATAAGCGATAACGAAGGCGTGCGTCTATAATGCTATCGTATGAAGTTCAAAACAAATTCTTTTGGTTAAAATCCATAAGCATTTCGTATGAAATTCGAACGAAATATTTCCTCAGTGTAGATCAACCAAGACTGAAATAATGTCTGTAGTATCGGAAAATGTCCTATCAGATCCAAAGAGTATATGTGGATCATGCATGATCTATTTCCGAGTAATCCAGATGTTCAAGGTTCTTCAAATCGTCCTGGAGTTCAGATAATTTGATCTACTATATCAACCGAGATTGGGACAATGTCTATAGTATCGAAATATTTCCAGACAGATGCACAGTGTCTATGTGCATCATGCATGAACTATTGCCATGTATACCAGATGTTTTCCAAATCGTTCTGGAGTTCAGATGGTTTATTCTACTAGATCAACAAAGACTAGGATAATATATGTAGTATCGAAATATCGATTTGGAAATCCTAGAACATTTGGCATATACGGAGGTTGGTATGATCCACATCGACACTGCACATTTGTTTGGACATATTTCGATACTACAGGTATTGAATTAGTCTTGGGTGATCTAGTAGAAAAATAATCTCATCTCCAGAATGATTTCAGAACCTATAACATCTTGTATACGTAGCAATAGGTCCGGTACAATCCACATAGACACTTTGAATCTGTTTGTACATATTTCGATAATACAGACATTATTGGAGTCTTGGTTTATATAGTAGAACAAATCAACTGAACTCCAGGTCGATTTGGAGAACCTAGAATATCCGGTATACATGGCAATTACTCGCATATATACGATTCGTTTTTGATTTGACAACGAAAAATGCTATGTTCACATTGAAAAAAAGGAAAATGTCTCACATTTGACAGATCTCAGGGAATTTCCGTGTAAATCCGGTGTGACTTGTGGAATTGAGATCATTTCTCGATTAACCGGCTGATGATTGATTGAACTTGTCACATTAATTTATAAATGATAAATCGAAGTGGACCAAGTTCTGGTTTAAACATATTCATATTTTGATAACAGCTCGAGGCAATTTTGGTCAGTTAGGCACCCCCTCCCTATACCTATATAGCAGCTGAAACTCACCTGTACAGTGCCAAAAAGTCGTCGCTGCTTCCGGGGAATGTAGTTTAACACAGCGTCGGAACATTTTTCATCGTCTGATAGAATGTCGGGAAGGCTCAACTGTTCTGCGATGGAACTAATTTCTTGAAGGTATCTTTTCTTTGCTCTCAAAGCATTTGCCGACGAAAATAGAGGCGATTTAGCGGCGTACACATACTGACTTGATGACAACTCATTCGGCTGTGTGTTTTGACAGACCTTCCGAAGAGTTCTTTCACGAGAAACTGACACCTTTCGGGCTAGTTCTGTTAGTCTTTCTGATTCTTGGAAACGCTGTTCTCTTCGCTCCGCTTTAGCAATGCTCTTATTCAATGTTGATATCTCAGGTCTGCAGTTACCTTCCTCCAAACTCTGTTGGAGTCTTTCAAGCGGGCATGACCCGAATCGTGTTATTCGATTACTAAACAGAGATTCTATAGTACTGTTCTTTTCGAACTCAATGTTGTCGGTGAACATGGGTAAAAATAACCCCAAATGCTTACGTATCGGATCTGACAAACTATGCCATGTATCTAGAGAGAAAAATTCCTTAAACACAGTTTTGTCCTCACAGAGCTCTTTAGGAAGGTTGATGATTTCTGTTGTAATTTTCGTCGATTCGAACTGCTTCCTGGAAGTCTCTTGAACAGATGCGCTGGAACCTGAAGTTGTTGTCAATTCCGAAGATGACGAGTCCCTTGAACAGTCTGAATATTCTTCATCCTCGACGGTGCTTTGATCCATTTTTGAAAATTAATCTGATAACTCCAACTAAATAAACAATAGAATAAGTTTTATAGATTTAGATGTACCTATGGATTTTTTACCTTTCCAGACCTAAGCGATGTTGACGCCAGCGTCGTTAAATTTAAGCGGCAGCGGGCAGTTTTCAACTGAATATATATATCTCCAAATTTGGATAGTAAGAACATGAGTTTTTACAAACTACGCTGCAATTGGTTTGAATTATTGAAACGAATATCGAGAAATTGCAATCAAAATCACTATCAAGTATCTTTTATTTATTTTTTCCGCACTCAAAAGTCTCAAACATCAAGATTAAAAGGAAAAGGTGGACATATAACAGAGATAATTATTTTTACACTGTAAATTGAAGGCATCCATAATGATGGATTATCTTGTGCACGAGATATTGCGCATTGCGCACATTATTGTCGCGCTTATGTTAAATTCTCATTTGGTTACGGTCGAAGCGCGCCGCTCATACATTCAAAAAATTTATCACATATCTAATGGATGAAATCCATGTGGTTTTCACATAGCTTTCCTGTGATCACATAGCAGCAAATCCCACCACAAAATCACATGGATATTATGAGGTCCATGAAATTCATATGAAAAATCATATAAAATTAATGTGATCACATAAATGCTATGTGAAATTCAGATGAATTCCATTAATTTTGATTATCGATGAAAATCATGTGCGTTTCCAATGGAAGCTACATGAAAACTATTTTCGGTGTAAGTGCGATGCAACCCCTCGTGCAACCCCACCCATAAGAATTATCCAGCTTTCCATGTTCGGTAATGGCGGCCTGTTTGTATGAATAAATGTATCCTTCACTGTGCTTTTTGACACTATCTGGATGTTCGAATTTCAACCCCTTCCCTTTCCCTCTCCCAGGAACAGTAGAAAATGGAACAACATACGCCCTCCAGTTAGTGTCAAAAAGCACAGTGAAGGATACATTTATTCATACAAACAGGCCGCCATTACCGAGCATGGAACGCTGGATACACAGGTGTGTATTTTTAATAGTATTTTATGGCAGCGGCGGTAACTCTAAGACTAAGGTCCCAAAATAACGTGCTCAACTTTTTGGCTCAGCTCTGGTACTATCTTCGGTCCCAAGCTAATCGATTCACCCCTCGAAACATAAGAAAATCCACTAACCCCTCATTTTATCTGTCAAACTTTCATAGCGAATCAAAACAAACATTGTGTAGTACTAGAATTTTGACTAGAATGGGATACGTTAATCGTTTGCTTGGGACCAATAGGCTAGTCAAGTAGAGAGCCAATTTAAAATCGTTAGTTTCCACCGGTTGGTCGTACGGCCATAAACAGAAAACGGATGGTATAATCCCTTCTTGAGAAAATATCTTGCCACACGCAATATAAACTAATACCAACAATCAATACGAAGCTATCGATTTGAAATTGGCTTACTACTTGACTAGCCTATTGGTCCCAAGCAAACGATTAACGTTTACCATCTAGCTAGGGGCATCCCACTCTAAACTTTAGACCTAATATCAATCAAATATTTTTAAATCCTCCGTAAGTATTCTTAAGTATTTTTCAGTATTTTAAACCAATATTTTATTTTCATCGTAGTAACACTAGTTTTTCATGTCGGGTTGCTAGTGTAGTTGTTTTTTGTTGACTTGTTGTATGCTAGATAGAGCCGTTCGTCAGGCATTTTTAAAAATTCATATGAAATTTCATGTTAATGGGTAAGTACTTTTATTATGTCTACAAATATAATAACTTAATTTATATTTTTCAGCGATTCACAATGTAGATGTGAGGAATTAAAAACGTGTCGCAAAATCATCCGAAGGAATTCAAGCTGATCAAACAAAGTCTTCGTGAAGGAAGCGCTGCTAAATCGGCAGGAGTGCGAAAACGTCTGATCGAAAGAAGGAAGAAAGTTTGACGGTCTTCAGGGTGTCTCTATTGACGAAAATGTTCCATTAATATTATAATAAATAATGTTAACCAATGTATTGCTTGTTTTGGATTATACGTAGGAAAAACATAATAGTTAAATCGGATTATTTTAAACATTCCCATAATAGTTTCATGTTATCGTTTGACCATACCGCTACCGTTGTTTCAAACCCAACGAACAATTTTAGCTGAAGGTTATGCAGCCAAAAATTGGCTGATACAGCTATTTTTTACCTGTATAAGTTAGTCTGCAGCTAAAACTGTTTGTTGGGTAGTCAACCATTATATCATACGTCCAAACCGTATTTTTTTTTACAAAAAATGATTAAGAGATCATGGAGTTCATAATCGATAAGGGATATAAACTATATACTGCCGGGAAGTTAAAAGAGAGCTCTATTGAAATCATAAAACGGTTCAAAATACCTTAAAAAGAGGTTCCACCTTTGGATCAAAAGGACATCTCGCTTTGATCGTATTCAGGTAAGATGTAAATGTATTCCATTTAGAAGGTGAAAAGCCAAGAACGATTAGTTACAAGATTTGTCTAATTTTCATTTTGCTTAGATTAGGCTATAAACACGTAGTCAATCAGGGCTATTCTGCGCGGCGTGTGAGGTGAAGTGACAGTGAAGTGATGGTGAAGTGACAATTGTCACCTCGGGTGAGGTGACTCTCCATTTGATTTGCACGGAGAGTCACCTCACCCGAGGTGACAATTGCCACTTCACAAGTGAGAGCGAGTCACCTCACCTCACACGCCGCGCAGAATAGGCCTGATTGTCACTCGGGCAAGAATCTAGCGGACGAAAAAAACAATTATATCCTCCATTATAACGAGATAGGAAATAAAAATGTCAGGATTCTAATGTCTATCAGACCAGAATGAATTCCTTCTGGAACAGGACGAACAGATTATACTGAAAACGGTCCGTGACATATACCCAGCTGCTCCGCTCACGCTGTTAATAAAATGAACGTTAATTTCTTAACAAATTTTCCAAACTCCACACAATTCTCCTGACATTAGTAAACAAACAGATGAAATCCTTATAGCAACCGAACAAATAATAGAATGCTAGATATTTTTTTTAAGTATTTGTAAGTATTTTTATGTATCTTAGATATCACTGAGAACTTTTTTGGTATAGGGGGGAAAATACAAAGTTTAGAGTGGGATGCCCCTAGCCATCTAGTATAATTTCCAGAACTACACCTAATCGTAAAAGGCCGATCCGAAACGAATTGGGTTCTTTAAGGGTATTGAAGTAAACCCTAATAAAAATTGTATGGTTAATTTGCTTAACGACGTGTTCTGGGTATCATCCAAACCATTTGTGGAATAGTTCAATGATTTGGGTTATCGTTCGTTTATGGTTATTTTTTATTAGGGAATGCATATTCGTAATCTGATGCATTAAAAATGGAACCCAAACCCAAAATTTCATCAATTTTGGTACACTGGAACTATTTTAAATAAGAACGATTACATTCACAAAAATCACCTTATTAGCGCCCCTCGATGTCACTTTGAATGGGAGCGAGCTGTCAGTTCGTCAGTTTAGTGTCAAACAGTAAAGTTATTATTTTGCTTTAAATCTTGATTTAAAAAATCGAGATGAAAGTGTGTGGGTTCGAAAAAAATATCACTGTGCTAAGAAAACGAAGTTCTTTCAGATGATATGCAAAAACCGCTATATTTTTCAAAATTAAAGAACCCAATTGCGAATCTGTGTGGAACTGCTCATATATGGGTAACATTTTTACTCATTTAAGAGCAACCGTAACGGTCGTTGTCTTTTGCGCGACTATTTTAACAGCGCTCTCATTTTAGTTTAGTCACTCTTCTCCACACCGGTCGCTGCTATCGTGGTTATCAATTTATTCGCCGTAGTCCGTACCGGTAGTGAGCATTTTGACATTTCTACGAATAGCAACCTTTCTCCCGCGCTGCTAAATTTGGTAACGCGCTTCTCACCGAGAAGCCGACTGCTATTTTAGTTACTCGTATGGCAACCCCCGATACGGTAGCTGCGCTATGATGAGGGCTGCTAAAATGAGTTTAGCAGCGTACCGTTACGGTTGCTCTAATGGGTAGTCCCAGTTAGAGTCGGTGTATAATGAGTCACGCCAAGAGAAAAACAGTTGAACTCGCATCACGGTTTTCGAAAGATTCCCTTTCTTTTCACTTTGCAACAGAGGACTTCTACATCAACTTCAAATGACTTCCAGCGAGAAAAAAATATAGCGGCTTTAGTAAATCATTATATCAGTGATTTAGTCAAATTATCTTAACCAAAAATAGTAGAAATTCTCATAAGGGATCATTACCAAACGGGATCATAAGGGATCATTACCTCGAAAATGCTTACTTTATAGTCATTATTGGGTATTTTGCTGTTACCGTGTAGGGAGTTATCAAAATCTGGGTAAACTAGATTAGTTCTGATGAGTAGAATCTACCCAGATTCTGGGTAAAAAGTTCTAATCGAAATTTTCCCAAAGTTAAAAGTGGCGCAGGTATGAAAGAGAGCTTGTTGCGCTGCCAGTGAAAGTTTTAATGCTCAAAATATACAAATCTGATGCTAAAAATGAACAGATAGGGTAGAGCACTAGTTCGTCGTAATCGCCCATTTCCGTTTTATCGATCAGAAAAGATCAATAATATCAATGATTTCACCCTGCACAAATCAAAAATAGGTTTGCTCCGATGCGTTAGTTCATTAGCTCATAAATCATATAAGAGCGCATTGTATGAATATTTACGCTCATTGTTCTCAAAACAAAAGAAGCGTTCCTAGCGAATCCCCTTTTTCTACATTTATCCGTAGGACGAAGAAAATCTAATGGCGTTTCAATGCGTTAGGACGGAATTGAAACTCGTAAGACGAATTTAGAATCAAGAAGCAGTGTTAGATTTTAAACAATATCTCAACAATTTATGACTTTTTATCAAATCCAATGGTACGTATGGAAAGGTGAATATATTTAGAAGTCATCTTTGATAGAAACATTCCATTATTTGTTCAAACCCGTTTAGAAAAGAGAGGTAAAGTGCGGGTTGTGCTTAGTAGGACGGAAATTAGATCAAAAACCCTATGGAATTGTTTGCATGGCGAACGCTACCAGCAGCGAGACCAGCAGCTAAAGTAAGTATATTGTTAGTTTATTACTTTGAACATTCTCCTAATTCTAGGTTATTCGAGGAGATATTCTGTGACACATTTCTCAATGTCAAATGTTTGTTGTACACAGCAAAAAAAAAAATGTAATATCGATCAATGTAATTCAAGCTGATGTATGAAATAATGATGTAATAGCAAAAAGCAGATACAATATTAAATCAATGGATGTAATTTTGTTCGCAAAATCGATGTACATCGTACAACCAACAATCAATACGAAACTAACGATTTTAAATTGGCTCACCACTTTAGTAGCCTATTGGTCCCAAGCAAACGATTAACGTACCCTATTCTAGTCGAAATTCTAGTACTACGCAATGTTTGTTTTGATTCGCTATGAAAGTTTGACAGATAAAATGAGGGGTTATTGGTTGTTTCGAGGGGTGATTCGACAAGCTTGGGACCGAAGATAGTACCAGAGGTGAGCCAAAAAGTTGAGCACGTTTCTTCGGGACCTACTTGTCTTAGAGTTACATCTATGGTACAACGTTATATCAACAATCAATACGAAACTAACGATTTTAAATTGGCCTATTGGTCCCAAGCAAACGATTAACGTACCCTATTCTAGTTGAAATTCTATTACTACACTATGTTTGTTTTGATTCGCTATGAAAGTTTGACAGATAACATCAGGGGTGTGTGGATTCATGCAGAACATGCAGGGGTGAGTGAAATAGCTTGGGACTGCTTGGGACCGTTGTTCTGGTACTGAGTGAGCCAAAAATAATAATGATTTTCTTCGGGACCCAGTGGTCTTAGAGTTACCTCTATGGTTATATTACACAACCGATGGATTGACCTGGTTGCAGCAGTTTGGATGTAATATTCAACAACTTTTTTTCTGTGTAGTTCCTAATTTATAGATCTCATTTAAAATCAAATCTCAATAAATGGTTAGCATTTGTAACGGTATCGTTTTTTGGGTATTTCAATGTCGTATTCCGTAGTTTATATTTATCCGAAAATACGACCTCAACAATCAATAACAGGCTAGAGGAGCTAGCCGAGTGAGATTATGTTTGATAGAGCTACTACGGTCATATCATCTCATTTCTATTAAAATTGGTAAAGTTTACCCTTTATCAAATGTCAACATCTGAGTAAACGTAACCCGATTTATGCCGCAGGTAAAATTTACCCAGATTTGGGTAAATGCATGTTTACTCATTTTTGGGTTGGTTCAGTTTTGACCGATCTGGGTGGTTTCTATCCAGATTTGGTAGTTTTGAAATGTCGTGAGAGTTACTCAGAATAGAGATTTTCACGTCTGGTTGTATTGGTAGGATATATTAGAGCGCCTGTTAGAGCGTGTTAGTGAATATCCGAGAAAATACACGGAACCGAAAAATTACCCAAAATTAAGTTCTTTTCACTCATCTCCTATGTTCCGTTCAATCTAGATAGAGCTGGAATTAGGGCGTAAAAGCTTTTGTAAACAATGACTCCTTTCGATGATTTCTAGAAAGTTAAGGCTCGCAAAAGCAAATCAACAACACCATCGAGTAGGGGAAGACTTCCCCTACGCGACAGTTTTGATTGTTTGCGTGGGCGTGCCTTGAGTTCCTAGAAATCATCGAGAGAAGTCATTGTTTACAAAAGCTGTTACGCCCTAATTCAAGCTCTATCTAGCAATTAGCTAATTTTCAGTAAACCGTTTATAGTAGATTGCATTTGGCTACGGCAAAAATAATTACTTACTCGTGTGTATTTTCTACCCAAAATTAAGTTCAATTGACTCAAATTCGAGAATATCTCATATACTCACTAGTAGCAACAATCAATATGAAACTAACGATTTTAAATTGGCGCACCACTTTAGTAGCCTATTGGTCCCAAGCAAACGATTAACGTACCCTATTCTAGTCGAAATTCTAGTACTACGCAATGTTTGTTTTGATTCGCTATGAAAGTTTGACAGATAAAATGAGGGGTTATTGGTTCTTCCTATGTTTCGAGGGGTGATTCGACAAGCTTGGGACCGAAGATAGTACCAGAGGTGAGCCAAAAAGTTGAGCACGTTTCTTCGGGACCTACTTGTCTTAGAGTTACCTCTATGCTAGTAGCTTATTGAACGATAGTCATGAGAAAGTCGAATCTCTCGTTCCGTTTTTGACAACAACAAAAAGTGAGAGTGGGATGCAAAACTCAAAATTACCCAAAATTAAGTAAAAAGAACTTCAATTTACGGTAATTTTTTTTTTCTCTGTGTACATAACAACTCGATGTCAAACTCATTTTGACAGATCTACTTTCATACATTTTTTAGGTTAGCCAGAGGAAAATAATAAACAACTTTACACGGCGTTGCTCCCGCTAGTGTGCGTGCGTTTAACGTCACTAATCTCTATAGAGATCTCCAAGCGCAATCTCACGAACACTAAAATCCAACATCCATACGTAAAAACGAAGAAGAAGAAGAAACAAAAAGGTATCGCGATATCACAACTACTTAAAAAGGTAGCGCGCGGTCTCACGCACACTTTTGTGCATCTGGAGAACTCTATTAGCTCCAATTTTACTCATGATCGAAAGCTGTCTTACCCCTCTTATATACGGCAGAAGAAAAAAAGTGGTATAATTTTAATCATCGATGGGTATAAAATAAAAATATTTCCGTGCAGTCGAGATTTCAGTTCGAGAGTTCCAGCTTTGCATGTTCAGTCAGAAGACAAAAATGATGAAAAATATTGATTAATTCTGTCGAAGAGAAGTTCTGCTTTCAATAGAATAACAATTCGAATAAATGGATAATAGTGCACTGTTGGTTCAATTATGAATGCCACAGAGGAACTGTCTGTTGTAGATGTGTACGATTTAGCTTCCGAGGTTGGCAAAGAATTCGAGAAAATAATTGATAAAAATGGGCCTAGTTCAGTATCTGAGCTAATCCCCAAAGTAATTAACATATTGGAACTACTCGAGACTTTAGCAGTTCGAAGAGAAAGCGAGTGTACGTTAATTCAAGAATTAAATGATAAAATCTCGCAGCTCGAAAATGATAAACAGGAAAAAGCAGAATTTAAGAAAAAAATCGATAAGGTAAGTTAACTTAATGATTCATTAAAAATTGCACTCGCATAATATAAAATCGGCGTTAATGCTTTTTTTTTACAAAACTAACTTTAATGAACTATGATGAGGGTATTTAATATTTAATCATTTGAGTGTGAGTGATTAAATTAATCAAACTTTAACATGCCTTTTAAGACATTTATCACCAATCCCTAACCGTCTTCACAATGAGGTAATGGATTTAAATCAATGATTAACAATTAATGTGTAAAAAGTTCATAAATATAAATATAGTTAAATCAATAATCATTCATCATTTAACGCTCTGTCTATAATAGCATCAATAGCTACGCCTGTAAAGCGGAACACACTGTGCTAGAGGAGCAAGGTTCGACGATTGGTCCGGTATTGAAATGCAATTTTTATTCTCGTTCTGATAAATCCTCACTCAGGAGGTTTTGTTTTATGAAGTATTATACGTATTCGTTTGTCATCCAAGTACATCCGCGGCATTACAATGACAATGAAAATCATTGTATTTTTATTGGATTTGTTTTTACGGGCAGTTACGAGCGAACGTATTGTTTACAAATGCAGATAAGTCTGTTTGAAAAAGTAACCCGGGTAGGCTTGTTATGACATATTGAAAAATAAGGTTTATTGATAAAACTACCCGAAAAAAATTATAATAAAACAACGAAACTACAATGATTTTTACTGTTAAATTTCGAGTAAAATAAAATTGGTTGTTAAATTGTTGTACGAGAGAAAAAATAAATATCGATTTTTAACAATACAATGCTCAAACAATGAAAATTTATTTGATGAGATCAAATCAAGCTGAACATTGTATTAGGTCCTAAGTAACATTGATCGATTCTCTTCGTCCACTTTCTCTTTCGTTAATAGAGATCTCTAAGCGCAATCTCACGAACACTAATAGCGAATTCGTTTATTATTCAGTTCCAACCTGGATCGGGTATCAAGATTGGGTCTGCTTGTTTTCTGACAAACGTCAGTTTGCTCGTTTGTTTTTAAAACCTAGCTCAGGTTGAGGTTCGCACTGACAAAAAGTTCGGTTTCGCACTGGGTTGGAACTGGTTCCAACCCCGATAATAAACGAATTCGCTATAAAATCCAACATCCATACGTAAAAACGAAGAAGAAGAAGAAACAAAAAGGTATCGCGATATCACAACTACTTAAAAAGGTAGCGCGCGGTCTCACGCACACTTTTGTGCATCTGGAGAACTCTATAACTTGAGCACATCAAGCTGAACATTGCATTAGGTCATAAGTAACATTGATCGATTCTCTTGATATTCCCCTTTGATCGATTTATCGACATAACCATCTTCCGCCAGACTATCGGATTCCTTGAGAAGGTCTACCCAAGGAGTGTTATCAGAACTGCTAACCAGACCCTCCCCATGGTGCGGTGCCATGCGTTGGAACCTGAAGAAAATTGTCATCGATCAGACTACTGTCGCCTGGATACCTGGCCACTGCGGAATCCAGGGCGCAAATTCCCCGGTCCAGACCTCAAAAGGTGGATTTTTAGCATTACTTGCGAGGCCTGGATTAACTCCCGTAACCTCTTCATTAGGAAAATCAAAGGAGACACGGGCAAATAGGAGGATCCGGCAAACCATCGCTCCCAAATTGTCATCTCCCGCCTAAGATCTAGCCACACTCGTCTTTCCCACAACCTCAATAGAAACGGCGATTTCCACTAGAACTCCTCCTTTCATCATTGAATTGAGCATTTCTTGTAGTACTGCCCCCAATACCAGAGAGCAAGCGAGCTTTATGGGATTTCAGGCAAAGTAAAATGCGCGCTTAGCAATGACCCAAGTCGGACCACTGCTCTCCGCTGTGTACTGTTGAACCTTCTGCCAACGGTCCAACTGATTCATCCTGATGTGGGTTAAGTCTGGTTCAGGCAGCAGATTCAAGGGCTGCCCGACCAGAAAATGTCCTGGGGTAAGTGCTTCGAAACAATCAGGATTCGACGACATTGGGCAGAGGGGTCTCGAATTGAGACAGGCCTCCACTTGACACATCACAGTTGATAGCTCCTCGTAGGTAAGTTTCTCATTTCCAACGACGGGACGAAGCAACTCTTTTGCACTCTTCACGGCCGCTTCCCATATGCCACCTTGATGTGGGCTTGCCGGTGTAATGAATCTCCACCGAATTCCGAGATTGGTGAAGAAATGTTCCGCTTGCTTGACGTGCTTCATGACCATCCCATAAATCTCCTGCAACTGTCGATCAGCGCCTACCAAATTCGTGCCATTGTCTCACCACACTTCGTTACAGTATCCACGGCGTGTGATCATTCTCTTGAACGATCCCAAAAAAGTCTCGGTGGTAAGGTCTCCTGCGACTTCCAAGTGGATGGCTTTACTCGACAAGCAAACAAAAACGACGGTGTATCCTTTCATGCACCGTGCTCCTCGCGTGTTACTACACCGCACCAGAATCGGACCAGCATAGTCCACAACAACATGGGCAAAAGGGCGGCATGCTGTCACTCGTGCTGCTGGCAATCTCCCCATCAATTGTTTTGCTGTTTGCGCCTTCTGACGACAACACGTCACACAGTCTCGTATCACCTGTCTGACAACCTTGGATCCAATAACGTTGGTTGATTGTTGCTGTTATCAAAGTTGGCCCAGCGTGGCAGTTGTTGATGTGAATTTCCTTTACAAGAAGTTTTGCGAAGCGATGCTTCTTAAGCCTGGTACGCAGCTGAAAAGAAAACGGAAAAGTAATTTTTGAGGATTTTTCCCAAAAGAAAATTTGACAGCTATAGTCTGCTAAATTTTGAGATTATAGCGAGATGTCGTCAAATTGTAAAATCAACACTTATTAGTGTTTATGTTGTTTAAATGCATCCAAAACATCAATTTTGCAATAAACGCCAACATTACCTAACGGAATAATTGATCAGACCATTATTGACGAGTGCACGGATGGATTTGAGTTCACTCATTCGACAAAAAGTGACACAACAGCGGGGCCCTGTTTACTAAAAATGAACATATATCTCGCGTCACTTTTCAAATAGACCAATGTAACATATCCACCATTTTGAGAAAATCGAAGTTGAAGTTCGACAGATTATTATTTTAACTGTTTAAAAACTATACATTTTGCAATACTATTTTTAATGTAGTCAGTGTCTAATAACGTTGAAAATTCAGAAGAAACGGTAAAATCACAATTTTACTTTGAATTTCATGCTACAACATAGAAAAAACCACATAGGACGTTTTGACAAGTCGAGTTGTACATCGGACATGTTACATTGGACGATTTTTCTCAATGACATAATCAATGAGTGTTACATTGGACGTTTTGTCTACATGATACTAGATTCCCTTTCACAGATTTCAGAGTATAGTACCTAACTTTAGATTGGCCCCGCCTTTGGAAAATGAGCACCAATCATGTTAGGCAGTCCGAATGACCGAAGTAACAATCATGTACCCATCATTTCAAACTGTATATTGGACAATTTTTTATCAATGATTATCTTAAATAAATGAAAGTAAATTTGGATGGATGTTTTTGTATACCATACAATGATAGAAGAGCAATAGTTTGTATCGCTTAACTCAATTTGTTTACATTTGTTACATTGGTCTATTTGAAAAGTGACGCGAGATATGTGTTCATTTTTAGTAAACAGGGCCCCGCTGTTGTGTCACTTTTTGTCGAGTGAGTGAACTCAAATCCATCCGTGCACTCGTCAATGGATCAATGAAAATGCTGTGTTTTTGACAGAACTATGCTGTGGCTACCACAGTATTTTACATTTGATCGTCCATATACAGTAGCGCCAAAAGCATGCTGTGGTGGTTTCAAAACTTGACCATCTAAAATGATCAATTCCGCAAGGAAAGTGAAATTGCATTCAGAATGCGCCACCTTCATGTCGATCACGATACTAATGTAATCGATCTTTCCTTTACCGATTTGTTTTGAACTGCGTACTGGGTCAAGAAATGCTGAGGAAAAGTAATTTCTTTTGCATTCCGTGTCCTATCCGGTAGCACATAAAAACGTCATTACTTTTCAGCTGCGTACCAGGCTTTAATGGTCTGATCAATTATTCCGTTAGGTAATGTTGGCGTTTATTGCAAAACTGATGTTTTGGATGCATTTAAACAACATAAACACTAATAAGTGTTGATTTTACAATTTGACGACATCTCCCAATAATCTCAAAATTTAGCAGACTATAGCTGTCAAATTTTCTTTTGGGAAAAATCCTCAAAAATTACTTTTCCGTTTTCTTTTCAGCTGCGTACCAGGCAGCCCAGTGGCAGGCGCGTAGGCAACATGTTATACCGTGACAGCGGGCCCAGCACAGCAAAATAAACGATTTGAGCACGGGACATGCTGCCTACTGTCAAACGCTGCTGTTGATATAGGCCTTGGCACTGGCCTGGTACCAGGCTTTCTCAGTTGATTCCCGCCAAAAGCTCTGAGCCAGGAGTGCTCGAGCCCCCATGACTCTATCAAAGTTTGTTTACATACATGTTTCGCCAAAGTATGTTTTACTGAAATTGAAAACTCAGCTGCCTCATAAAAAATATGCTGGTTTTTATACTTTCATCACTAAGCCTGTTGGTTTTTATCTTTGAGCTTAAAATTAAGAATGTATGTATTATGAAAAAGTATAGATCATTTTTATGAGATTACAATGCTTGACGGTAGATAAGAACAGTAACTGCATTTGCTGCTTCTGAATGTTTGGTTCCCGCTTGACAGTTCACACTGGCTCCCAAGTGACAAGCACTTTGAGTGAGTCCGCAGTACTCAGCTTTACAGTGCGAATTATACAATGAGTTACGTCTGTTTGTCTGTAAGAGAACGATTTCGTAAAAGGGTAACATAGCTCGTAGGGTGTAAGTGTAAGTGAAGTTTTAGCTTTTTTTTTAGTAATTTTAACGCTCTTGGGTTATTCGTGACTTGTCTGGGGGTAAGATTTGAACTCGTGACTTTGGCGTGCATTCTAACCACTCCGCCGGGGTCGCCACCAAGAAGTTTTAGCTGTTAAAAAAATGTTTTTTTTTCATGCATGGAACACTCTACACCCAGTGAAGTTGAGAAAAATGCTCAATCTGAACAGATCCAGAACCGGACTTGGAATCGACCCGTATATCACAGAACAGAAAGGGAAGTGCAAACAAATTGGTGAATCAAAAAATGGTACGTTTTTTTGCTCAACCAGCGATGCGTTGTGGTAGCGTTCCACACGGGCTCTCTATGCGCACTCACACTATCATATCATGCTGCTTATCTTAACTGCAGCCAGAGGATGCCTTCTACCGCTAGGTGCGCTAGTGTTCTCCAATGAAAAGTGAAGCCACTTTCTGATCCGAAGTTCCCCTTCTGTTCTGTGCGTATAGTCTTGCTTTATAACCCTCGTCTTTACTGGCTATGCTAAGGGAGATCCTCTTGGTTTAACTTTAAATCATTTCATAATATTATTTGCATTTGTAAGCTTATACATATATAGCTAATTTTATTTTTATTTTCGCCAGGAAATGGAGTCAATTGAAGAACAGTGGCGTATCGAGACACGTGATCTATTGCAACTAATAAGTCGCTTGCAGAATGAGAATCGAAGATTGATCAAAGCTCAAAACAATGATTCATTGTCATCCAAAAGTTACCAAAATGACTCGCCGAATGTCGAAAGCCAACATAGCAACATATTTTGTGCAAATTGTGATTCATCTACAATATCCAAATTGAAGTCAAAAATCAATAAACAAAGTGATGAAATGAAATACAAGGAACGTGAACTCCATGAAAAACTGTCTGAAATGACCAACATGTCTTCCCAAATTGAAAGACTTAAAAGTTCATTAGGCGAATGCCGTAGAAGACAAAAGTTGTCGCAAAATCAAATGATTACATTGTTCGAAGAACGAGCCGATTTCCTCGCGCAGCTGCAGGACCAGCAGCATGAGATAACAATGCTTCGTAAACGGCTTGGAATAGCCGAGAAAGAGAATGAAGATTTAACCGACAGTGTAAAAGAGGACGAAAAACCTCGATTTTCAACAGTAGAGTTAAAAGAAGTTTTAACAGAAAGAAACGAGTTAAAACTAAGAGTCAACGATTTAGAACAAGAGCTTCTTGCGTGTAAGCAACCTAGCAATGTTGATATCGAAAATGAAACACCATGCATTTCCAATGAAGATCTACCCGTTCAGGGCCCATTACCATATGAACCAGATGATGCTCCGTGGAAAAAGCATTCGGAGAGTGGTATCCGTAAATTGTGAGTATATTCAAGAAAAACAAGTGAGATGTCGGTGATACATTATGTACATAAGGGGAAAAATTCCCTTCGCCAACTTTGACGATTAATTCGTTGTCTTGTACCAAGCCTTTAGCTTTTGATCTTATCTACCAAACCTTTCACGGAGACAATATTACGTTGTACCGGTTTCACTCCTGCTGTAAAATGTCTTCTACCCTACACTGCAAATAAAATTCACGTAATATTTTCCATTATAGGGGAAATGACTCTAATTTAGGCCTATGGTATGGATCTAAGACTGGGCCCATCGCTTAAAATCTGCTATTTATAAATGTTATCTAGATGAACGCGTCATTGGGACAGTACTAATGGACATTTTTTGTCGCTATTGAAAATTTAGTCTATTGCTGAATTCATGTATGGACCCAAATTCGGGGGAATTAAGGTCTACATTACATCCATTTCCCCTACTATTCATGGGAATTTCACGTGTTTTGGGGGAGAGATAAGTGATTCACATAGAAATCAAGTGATTTTCGCATAAATTTTATCGGACTTTCCAATGATCTTCAAATTGGCATCACTTGAAAGTTACGGTAAATTGCAAGTAAATGTTCCTGGATTGTGTAGGAATGGTTAAGTGAATTGGTGATAAACTAGATGTATATTTTTTTTATTATTATTATAGTCACTTTAACATTCTTGCGTTAATTCGTGACTTGTCCGGGATGATATTTGCACTCGTGACTTTGGCGTGAGAGAAATGGATGTTATTCCCCCCTATTCTGCGAGTCACGTGACTCTCTCTCACCGGTGAGGTGACAATAGTCACCTCGTGTGAGGTGACTCTCCATTTGATTTACATGGAGAGTCACCTCACACGAGGTGACAATTGTCACCTCACCGGTGACAGAGAGTCACGTGACTCGCAGAATAAGGGGGATTAACTACGCTTGCTTCCCTCGACTGTTCATCAACGTCCGCGCTGGCATCTGTCATGCTTACAGCTGTCAGTTTTTGAGCCCTGGCGGTGAAGTTGGCGGGGGACGCCCAATAGTTTCAATGTGCATTCACCAGATGGCACTGCGATCACATCCATGGCCTTGTTCGAGGAATTGATCAGTGGGATATCTTGTTAATTAGATATCTTTGGCTGTACCGTCCGTTCAGCGGTGTGGGTTCGTACATGCATAGATGTTGGTGTGCGTTTTTTTTCAATGCTACAGTTCAACCACAGACAAACAGACGTAACACTTTGAAAAAGTTTTTCTTGAAAACATAGTATCTCAAAACATAGGACCTCAGTAACGACATCTCTCTGGCTTCTCGCGGAAAACAAGATTGCTCGCTAACTCGCAAACAATATTGCATAAAAGTTCTATAGAATGTATAGAAACGTCAAAGTAATCCGATGCCAGCGCTGCGGCGAGTAGTTCGCGGAACTGATAATATTCAAATCAACCGTTAAATGCGTGAACGAAGATACACAATGAAGTGTTACGTCTGTTTATCTGTGGTTCAACGCTGTCTCGTCACAAACCGTTTGGCGCTGTTATCTCCTTTCTCATACTCACTGAATATGTACTTTCTCATACTCACTGAATATCTATATTCATATGACCATGTTTTTCTTGCTGCTTCGAATTAATAAAACAAAGTACTATAAAACGGGAAAACTTTGATAGTTTTTTGAAGTATATTCTAAATATTTTTTTACAGCAATTCATGTTTTTCAAATTTTATTGTTTTAAAACAAGTACTGATGATCCTAGACTCAATTCGTTAATAATATGTTTAACGGAAATTAAAGCATTTGCACTATTTTTAAAGTCTTTTGACCGAACATCAGTATTTTGATTTGGAGTTACTTTGATAATGCTCTAAAATGCGAGTGCAAGAAAGTGAAAGTGATTGTGTTTTCGTTTATCATAATCCTTTTCATCAGAATCTGGCCAGATGATTCTGATTGGAGGCAGGTGCAAGAGCTTCTTTCAAGATCCGACGGAATGTTGTGAAATGTTAAGCTAGAATTAGGAGATGCAACAGTCTTTCAAATATTGGCTTCACGTGCAAACCATCGTTCATTTGGTGAGTTCGGTCCTGTTTATTTTTTCACTTGTTTCGATACCATCTATCAGTTTTCTACAATTTTGTCTTGGACATCTTTTCGAAGAGCCACGTTCATACTGTAATTTATCGAGCGCACAATTTTCACATGTTGAGATCTAGTGGGAACGTCAAGATAGTCATCCAAGTGCTTTTGTTTCTGGTTTTAGACGTTTGATGTATTCAGTTATGTTTTTGTACTTTAAAGTTCCCTTTATCTGTGATCATGGTGGGTCTGAAGAGTTTTTGTTGAGCACGCTGAGGCTGAAATTGCATACCCCCTCCCCATGGACATGGAGGTTGACGATACTGAAGCAAAGGGTTATATTTAATTTCTTTATATTTGCAACGATGATGATTTCCTATAGTGACACATATCACCTTCTTAATGCTTCAGTATGCCTCAAACGATTAATTCTTGGTTGTTAATAGAACTTCCTTGATGAAATCGGCTGCTTCATGCAGACTGAGCAAACCTCTCACTAATAAAGTAATGATCTTCTAGTAAATTTTGCATATCATTTTATTAATATTTTATTTTATTTAAGCATATTATTTTTGTTACAGTCAATTAGCCTTAGCATACGATACAAGAGATTTAATATTACTTGCTCGTTTTTGCGTTAAATAATCAATATTTATTTACTTGTACAGGTCGGACTCGATTATCCGAAGTATCGATTTTTTTTTTCACTCCGGATAATCAAATCCTCCGGATAACCGAATCACAAGAAAAAAAAATTAAAAATCTGCCCCTCCTCTTAACGATTGTTAAAATAATCATATTGCATATTATAATACAAAATTATTTCAAATGTCTGCATTTTATTATATTATTATTATTATTTTATTAGTTTTTAAGTAAAACAAAATACTCCGGATAATCGAGTCTAAAATTCCGGATAATCGAATCCCGGATAATCGAGTCTCCGCATAATCGAGTCTCCAGATAATCGAGTTCGACCTGTTATCATATTGTATATTATGATATTAAATTATTTCAAATGTCTGATAAGAAACAAAAAAAAAACGCAAAAAAAATACTCCGGATAATCGAGTCTAACATTCCGGATAATCGAACCCCGGATAATCGAGACTCCGGATAATCAAGTCTCCGGATAATCGAGTCCGACCTGTATTTACCTTTGAAAGTTTTATTTTCAAGTTTTTTTTTTTGTGATCTGAAAATTTTCCCAGTTTGGTTAGAAGTTTCGAACCTAACGCATGTCCACAGGTCCAATAGAAAGATAGTTAGAAAAAGTGTATCATGAAGAATGGTTGCATGCAGGGTTGCTTCCACTCACTTGCTATAGATGAGTGATTTTCGGAGTTTTGAATTCGTTAGATGTTGTAATGGAGATTTGTGATGTTGGATGCGGGAGGAGATTGGAGGGCGGGTGTTTGACGCATAGCGCCTGTCAATTTCGATTTCAGAGTGCCGCAGTCGGCGGTTTTATGATTCGTGAGCGCTCGCGATTCGTAGAATTGTTGATTGTGACTGCAAGTGGATTTGGCGGATTTTGTGTGTCGGACGCTTGTTTTTTTGCCTCTTCTTGTGTCTAACATGTGCAAAGTATCATTATAGCGTCTAATGGTTTTAAAATTCTTGGTTGCGTGAAATATATTTGTGAGAATATCTTTTTGAGATTTTAGTAGTCACGTTTTGTTTGTAGTTTATATTTTATTTCTTTCATGTAATTATCGTAAATAATAGTTATTCAATAATAGATAGTTCATCCATATATTCGTACTTTGACGCGAAGCGCTGTGGATTATGAGATGCTCGATGACCCTGGAGGGATCGATTTTGCTTACTGAGCAGAAAATCATGGATTTAATCCCAAGCTCTTCCACAGCACAATAAATCGCCACCATCATTTGTATATTTGATATTGAATATTATCCTCGGAAACTATTTGCATATCAAGCGAAAACGTAGCCCTGTATTGTCGCGAAGCGTTATGGTTCTGAGATGCTCGATGACCCTGGAGGGATCGTGTTTGCTTACTGAGCAGAAAATCATGGGTTTAATCCCAAGCTCTCCGTCATGACTCTTAAAATTCATGATCACTAAACAAAATGAATATGTTCTTTCGATAGCCGGCTATCGAGAGATTAAATAAACAACAAATAAACAATACATACATTTGGTTGCATCGCCAACTTGAGGTGAATCCTAACCGAATACCCTACCCAACCCTCCAACTCCGTAGCACTTATGAGGGTGTCGCTAAGTCGGTGGCCTCTCGTTAAGTAAGTACTACATCAACATTTCCTTCCCTATCCCTAGTTATGGTAAAGATGGGCGTGGCCGGGAATAGCGACAGTCATGCTTCTGTTACTCTTGTTTAGATTGGAACCAATGTTTACTCCCCAGCATTATTCCTGAAAGTAGTCTAACTGAGAATTTTAGAAGAGACGTGAGTGTCGCTAGTATCCAATCTACGAAGTATATCATAACAACGCTAAAGGTACTTTGATAATGCTCGAAAATGCGTGAAACCCAAATAATTTAGTTCTTGAAATATGAAACTTTGAATGAGTATATAATCAGAAAACATCATAAGCAATAAGAATACAACATTGAATTTGTGATTGCTATATTGGAAATACATTTCATAAGCGATGGTTTGAGTGCGGCGAAAAACAAGAAAATTGTTTTTTAATATGTTTGTAAAATATGTAACACAAACTATATAAAAACTTTATACCATATCAACGATAATGCTTTAAGCTACAATAAGGAACCAATGTTTCCGATTCGGAAAAAGCACAGAGAGTAAATTTAATCATTATATTCTACTATCAAAGTGGGGGAGAGGTAGCTCATCCATTCTTCCGGTTCGCCTCCTAGCATCGTGCTATAAGGTACCAGGCGATAACCAGGGTAGTTGATCGATAGCTTGATGACGTCATTTCGCTGGCGTCTGCAATGGGAAATTCTCATAGCAGGCGTTGACGATGGGACGTTGTCGAGTTGTTGAATAGCAACTATAAAGACGTCTGCATTGAATTGTCTCATTTAATAATATTCCGCCCACTATATCACAAGAAATTGCGAGTAGCTGAGTGGAATGGAGATAAGTTAAGCATTGGGTACAGGACAAAGTCTCCCCTGGGTGGTGCCAGAAGATGAGCGCAATAGAATCATCAAGTTGCCGTAAGGCACGGAATGAGACTATTGCATGGCTGGGTAGTCAAAGTCTTCCATTCGTTAGTCATTTCAGGTGGATTAGAGCAGGTTTAGGTTTAGGGTGGGCGTTGGCCAGATTTGGATTTTTCAGATGTAATCCTGGATAGGACCCTGTCATTGAACGTCGCGTGAAAGTGGAACTTAATGAAGGCCTAAGTACTTTTTCGTAGTTTTTAGTTTTCGGATTTGAAAGATCGTCGGTTATAGTGGCCAGCTTACTGAGCAGAAAAATGCGGTCCCAGGTCCTTACATATCAAAGAGATTTATGGTAAAATCGCTTGTGTATCGTGTATTTTGCGAAACTCGTTGTTGTCGTTGGTTCCGGGTTTGAATGGATACAAAAATTTGAGCAACGGTATTATGTGATATGAGGGGCTCGGTGGCCTTAGAGCAACCGTTTTTGCTTACTGAGCAGAACATCATGAGTCTAATCTCAGGCCCTTCAAAATTCAAGATTCGTCAATCGTTTTATTTGTTAATATGACTACATGGTAATAACAGCAAATCGGTGATTAAAAAGGTGCTCGTCTGCCTAGTGGCAAACGTTTTTGCTTACTGAGCAGAAGACCGTGGGTTTAGTCCCAAGCTCCTTCGCGTTATATGATCGTTAGGACATCAATTCAGCTTATCGTTTACCAAAACGAACCCTGCTGCAAACCCAACCCTCTTATCCAACATCCCAGTGATTCCTCGTGGAAGTGCAGAGGTGTTCTCGGCTTCCATCAAAGCGAGTGTCATGTCAACACAATCCTTCCCATTCCTTTCTTGACCTGTGTTCGGGCGCGGCCGGCGCTGGTATTGCCTAATTTAAGATCACCAGTTTTTACACATTGAGGATGATTGCTAGTCCCAAGCATCGTCTATTGGTTCTCTGTGTAATTACAGCTGATCTGGCAATAACAGAGTAGCAACCGTGGGCGGTCAATCAAGCTCAAGCTCATTATATTCTACTATTAAAGTTACCCGCATTATCAAAGATACCCCGTTTTACGGTGCATTTTTTTCTAATTCTCAGCACTTCCAAATACAATTTTTCCGCATAAGAAAAAATCACCACATCAATTAAAAAAAAAAGAATTTCTCGAGGCATCTACACATATCTACACATATCCCGCTCCCTCTTCAGCTCGAGATTCAACTCGAACACATCTGAGGGGGTTAGAATTAATTATATGATTTGAGTAGTAGCTGTAGCTGTAGTATACTGAAGATCCGAGAGATGTCGTCCCTTCAGTGGTAGGTATGGAGAATATCAGAAAATCCACGATTTGTGACTAAACATGCTTTCACAAAAGGAAACAAATAAACCTTATCACCATAGTAATGTACTCGTGCAATTTTTATGCATCTAAAACAGCTCATAAAGACGATAATGAATAAAAACTGAAAATTTTCATGCATTTCCAAATGGTTTCCTACCATTCCCATACATTCGAAAATGACTGGCCCTCTGGATGTGGATGATGTCAAAAACAACAAAACATGATTAATTAGAAGGAAAGGGGTGTAAGTGACTTTGATCGATTCTCTTCATCGACTTTCGTTAATAATTCAGCTACAAACACATTCCTTGATTCGTGTGTCATTCTGGATGCTAGATGAGAACCTCCTTTATCAAACTAGGGGAAATGCAGGTAATGTCGGCCTAAGTGTCCCTAATTTGGGCCCATACATAAATTCAGCAAACGACTAAATTTTCAATAGCAACCAAAAATATCCATTAGTAACGTCCCAATAACGCGTTCATCTAGATAAAATTCATAAATAGCAGATTTTTAGCGATGGGCCCAATCTTAGATCCATTAGAGACATTTCCCCTATGTGTCAGAAATCACACTTAGAAATTTTTACAGAAATCTGTGAAATAATCTTAGTGTGATAGCTCACAATCTGTTTATAAAGCTGTGACTATCAAACGAGAAAGTCGATGAAGAGAATCGATCAAAGTTACTTATATCCCTTTCCTTCTAACCCTGTAATCTTGTATGGTGCATTTGTATTCGGGAAGCCCCAGAGCATCAATCTTAGGTTTTTTCTTTATTATCGTGATTTTTAGCCGTAGGCTAGTTCATAATCAATTTTAGATGCCTCAAGCTGCACAAAGATGGAATAAATATCTTTTTAAATATATTTTGGTACACATTACGGCGTAAAACCGAAACATTACATCGGAAGAATGTTTTTCAGGATTTTGTTTTTATTATTGATTTGAGGCACTTGAAAGCTGTCAAACTTGCATAGTAAAGTGGTCCCATAAAATACTTGGATTGTCCATCAGTTTTGCATTTATATTAATCATGGATTCATAGAAATGCGAAGGTGGCGTTTTAAACACTCCTGCCTCCTTGTCCGTCTTTTGCTGATGATCTTAAAATTTTCTTCAATATTCAAAGTAAATGCCTTGTTTGTTGAGAAGCATATTTAGTGACTGGTGCGATTTGAACCCGATGACTGTGAGCCCAGAGAAGTATTCGATCATCAGTGAAAGATCTAGGCGATTCGTAACTGACGTTCAAAAACCACATTTCGTTGTCTAAGTATTTTACCGATGTATACCATCTCTAACTTCATTAAAACTGTTAGTCAAATAGCCGTAAATAAAGTTTACATATGAATTTTATTTTCTTTTTAATTTATTTGGTATGTTGAAATCAGAAAACCACATTAAGATTTAAAAAATGTAGGTAACCAAAGTTGGCAATAAAAAAAAACTTAAAATGTTGAATAGCTCACTTAGCAGTCATTTCCGACCCTATGTTTCATGGGGATTTTTACATAACTTCAGGAGCCCTATCTACCCTGAAAATATGTAAAACCCGGAACCAAACACGATGTATATATATATTAGACCTGTTCATTTTAAACGAAATGTTCGGAATGTAACGGGTCAACCGTTATTACTGTTCGTCATGTTAATTTGAACTTCTATGCAAATTTTCAGCAAAACGGTGATGATTTAGAGGTGCTTCAAGTTAATTTTATGTTTTTAAGATAATTTACGGCTTATAATATTTGTATCTCGAGACTGAAACAACGAAATCTGCTATAACAACTTTCATAGCAAAGCTTAATGTGTTATCTATCAACTTTGTAACCAAAGGTTGACTATTCAAAGTGATTTGATTGAAGTTTGACTTATAGCGAATTCGTTTATTATCGGGGTTGGAACCAGTTCCAACCCAGTGCGAAACCGAACTTTTTGTCAGTGCTAACCTCAACCTGAGCTAGGTTTTAAAAACAAACGAGCAAACTGACGTTTGTCAGAAAACAAGCAGACCCAATCTTGATACCCGATCCAGGTAGGAACTGAACAATAAACGAATTCGCTATTAGTTTCATGCTTTGTTTATGCCTTTTTGATGGTGGAAAGATTCGGATTGTCCACTGATTTTACACGTTCAAATCGATGTAATATTAATGCATGGTTTATTATATTTTCAGCTTCCGAAAATTGTTCTCCGATGTGAACACCGACAGCACAAGCTTCCCGCGCCGTTCAGTATCTACATTAACGAAAATGGCTCTATCATCTGGACCACACAGTGACATTCCAATATAAATAATTTTATTCAGTATCAGTAACTTGTTGTGATGTTCTTTGTTTCTTTTAATTAGCATAAGATTATTACTTAGCGGTAGTAAAAAGATATCCATGTCAAAATAGTAGAAACAAAATCTTCGGATGGCATTTCGTAAATTGAAATCGTTTGGTGAGTTCACTGTATAGTAAGTACATTCCAAAGGGTAGTCTAAATTACGAGGAGTTGTTGAATTTCCTGTTTTAATTTGGTTGTGCTACATGCTACATTACCCCCAGGTGCCCAGAATTCGCGATGACGGCATACGGGGAAATGACCTTCGGGTTAACGTAGCACAATCAAATGATACTTTACAGACGTTTACGATATGCTATTTGAATCTTTGTATATTTTTTGTTTAAAGTTATGAGAAATCCAAAAATAGAAACAAATGTTTTCCGTAACCAGCCATCAGTTTTCCTCTTGCAGTGTCCACCCATCTACACTTGGCTAGGTGAGGACCTACCAAGCCTAAGGCCGGGTGACATTGATGTGGCATCTGCTAGAATGTCAAAACATCATGTCGACACACGGCACACTACTTCGACATGATGATTTGACATGTTGTATGATGCCACATCAGTGCACACTGGGCCAGGAATGCAATATAGCAGAGCAAAATTAATAATTCCGAAACGAAGCATTTCCGCGACTTGGTGTCTTCGGTAAAGTTTCTCATTATAATAAGGACATAAACAAAACTTTTCCGCAAAGAAAACGCCACAACCTAACTTCTTTCTCTGACGTTTTGGAGATTTGATGTCTTGGGAAAAATTATTTATCTTGACAAAATAAACAACTCTTTTGAAGACGTCAAATTTCCACAGCCTATTGGTTCCGAGTTATATGGAGTTAAAGAAAAACATGTCGAAAGTATGGTTTTTTTTGTAAAAGGGATTGGCCAGGTATTGAAATTCCATAAATTCCTGATCAAAGTAAAGACGTTGGTCCCCGGTCTATGAGTTGATAGGGTCCAGGTGTGGGAGCTGCCTCCCTGCCGTCGGTAGCATTGGTACCCAGTACGAAAAACAAGATCAATGGAAAACAAACCAAGAAAAAAAAAACATCTTTTGCTCTAATCTTTTGAAAAAATATTGTTTTACATCTTAAAAGAACCAACACGGTACACTGGAAATCGTAAATTTTACGACCCCGTAACGTGGGTAGATCACCTTTTCGTTGTACGTTACGGGATGTAAGATCTACCACCGATTCCTGACTACTTCAAACTAGAGGAACAGGATTTTTCAGTAATCCAAGGAACACATCTTAGTCCTTGTTACTTTTTATGCCTTGTTGATAGTGACAAGACTCTGCTTTGTCTACCGAGGATGATCTTGAAACAAGGAAAAAAAAAGTGAATTAGTTGTCTTCATCTATGTGAATCCTAATCTTCTATTCGTTGTTCCCTAGTTTTAAGTGATTAAGACTAGGGTTCTGATGCATGGCCATTATCGGTGTCATTCCTTAATTTTGTTGCTAAGGAATCCAATTTTGACTGACAAAGGGGCGCGCTTTTGGAGGGTGTTTCAACACTCCGAAGGGTATAAATAGCGGGACCTTTCAATTAGAGTCGGATCCTTGCGATAAATGCAAGAGTGGCAACTGTAAAAAATCGAATACTTCATCATTTCTCAATAGTGATGGAGTAATACGACATGGACACGGGATAAACTACAATAGATCAAGCAGTAAGCAGGTCCCGAAATGAGGAAAAAAAAATTCGAGGAATTGTATCATTCGGGGATAAAACTTCCAGGGATATCGGAGACGAACCAGCGTTCGGCTGAAAGTCTACTTAATAAAGATAACTTTCCAACTAACTTCCAGGGAAACTGTTTTCGGGGAAAAGTCGTACAATCACCGAGTCACGTCCTACGTAGTTTATGGACAACCCCTAATGAAACCAATGCCAGTTTAAAGGATTCTGTGATTATCAAATAACGTTTTAAAGAATTACGGTGTAAAATTGTATATGTTTTATGGCTTAAATATATCTAGAAAATTTGGCATTGAAACTATTAAGTCTCTCTTGAATGTCGGTAATTATAAATTATTGAAATAAACTAGCGATACATCCAGCTCTGATATACATACATCTTAACAACTATTTCACGTTTTCTAATAATTAAACAAAGAATAACAGTAACAACAATGTAGTAATAGATTTCCAGAACATTTTATCTTAGAGATTCCTGCGTTGTGCATGCGGTTCGATGTAAACGAAATAATCGTACTGTCATTGATCATCAGAAATCGTATGATTTTCACGCACATATTCTTTAGGAAAAAACCCGACCTGAAATAAGAGTAAACGAGCGATTGAATAACACAAATTCGGTAGTATCAGAACTTACATATATTCCCAGCATTACTGAATTTTCGTACAAACCTTTTCCATTGTTTTTCCTCGCCACCATCCTTTGCTATCACCTTCCTTTCCTATTACAATAACTTGGCACCCCTGCCTGAGCGGCAGTTGATTAGGTTCGTTTGGTGAAAAATCATACAGGGCTGTTGCAATGATTTCTTTGAAAGGCCATTGAAGCGACTGATTTAACCTGTTAATGAAAATAGGGATTATAATGAATACACATGTTTAAAGATGAATAACAAAATTGGTCCAGTTGCAAAAAATACTTGCCCAGCAAAATTTTCTCCAAGGTCGTTGCGCTCATAAAATGAAACTAACTCAACGATGGTCTTGAAATGCCGTCGTGTCGAAAGATAATACAAGACACTAAAATTTTCTTGTTTTTGATAAATTTTCATATGCTTTATAATTTTGTTATCGGTTCTAGAAATAAAATCAAACGTATTAAACATATTTATCTGTACGAAACATCAAATAACATACTTTAAACTTAACGCGTAAATCGTTTCATAAGAATTCGATGCACCTTGAGGACGGACACGTAGTAAATAGGTGCCAACTTTTTTCTTTTCTAGCTTATTTGTAGCTGCATCTCGATCCATCGCCCCTACGAACCAGTTGAACTCTGATAACAATCGATCACATACTGGTGGTGGAGACTGGTCCTGTTTACATCGACCAGTTGATGATATACATCCCTTGTGTACTACTATTTCGCAACTTTTACAGCGATAACCTTGATGAATTTTTCCTTTTAAAAATTTAGAGCAATGTCGACAAATGATAGGAGCATCAAAAGTGCATACATAAAATCTGTGATCTGTATTTCGACACCCCATTGGGTCTATAACCTCCCTGGAAATATATATAAAGATTTGTAAGTATTTGCTATTTGTTGAGTTAACTTACTCCAACAGCATAGACCACTTGATAAGTGACCTTTCCTGACGTCAATGCTTTATGAAAAATCAACTCGGTCTTGCTTTAGGTGCAGGTTTGTTAAGACTGGTGCGGATTATGCGTTTCGCGCATAATTTGGGTTTGTACGCGGATTTCAAGCGTAGCGCGGTTTTTGCGGAAAGCTTATTAATGAAAATTGTTATACATATTTGTATTTTTCAAGTATCAATTCACATTTCATTCAAGTGAGTAAGTTGCTCAGGAATTTTCTGATCAATATTGTGAAGAATAATATCAGTAAATAGTAAAAAAATTATGAAAATAGTGTTAGTACCATGCCAGCATCATATTTGACGCGTTCCTAATGATGACGCACTAGTCTATTTTTGATTGTATCTCGATTTTGAGAAGATATTTTTAAAAACTTTGGTACACCCTTAGAGCACTGGAACTAGGTTAGGTTATCTTTATTAGCGAGACTTTCAGCCAGAGGCTGGTTTATCTCTTAACACTGGAATTAATGATACAGAAGTAACATATCAAAAATTAAGATTAGAAATAGTCGAACATTATTGAGTGCGATGATTTAGGATCCGATTCGAATATGGTGCCACCACGGTAGATTTTTCTTTCTAGATTCTAATTGGACTATCTATAAATCTCATCAATTGTCTTGCTTTAGGAACTCTTATAATTTTGAAAAATTCCGGGGTTATCGGAACTTTAGAAACCTAGAAAGCCAAAGAACTAAAGATATTCGTCATTTTTGGGACTTTTAATAGTTTGTAAAATCTGCAGAGATTCTTTCACCAGAGCTTCAGAAACCCCAGGGTTGAAAAGTTTTGATTTTTTAAAGTCAAAATGAGCCGATATTAAGTGTAATTTCTGACAATATTTTCATCTCGCTTTGTATCGGTCAATGTGTCCATTACCGTCTATCTTCGTCTGATACTCCCATTTGCACCTGATCGCCTTACGTCCTTCTGGCAAATCAGCGAGCTTCCAAGTACCGTTGGAAATAACCCAACAAACAATTCACAGTCACAAATAAGCATACACATTGAATAAATGCTGTATAACAGTGTACAATGCTGAATAAAACAGGATGTCGAATTATGTGCTGAAAAAAGCTCATTGAGATCGATAGATGCACCTTTATTCCGCCGTTTGCTCTGATATGAATAATTTACTTATTAAAAGCTTTATAAACGTTGACTGTCTTCCTGATTCAGAACCTGAAGTTTGATCTTATAACAAACTGAATAAGTGTAATTTGCACATACATTGTCGCTTTAATTCGACTGTTTTCAATTGCTTTAATACAATGCTTTATTAGACGTCTTATAAATGTTTTCTAGCTCCATTATTAGATTTCATTGCATTGCTTTATAATATTGCTGTATAAAGGTGAATACAGTCAGCAAAATAGCTCTGGTACCACTATGCGTCCATGTTTTAGTTGAATGCTTTGTAAATGCTTTATATACGACGTATTAGATTCATTATTCCACAACGCTGCCCAATAAACAATTCAGAGTCACAAATAAACATATAGATTGAATAAATGCTTTATAACAGTGTACAATGCTGAATAGAACGGGTTGTCAAATTATGTGCTCAGAAAACCTCATTGAGATCGATGATGCGCCTTTATTCCGCTGATTGCTCTGATTTGATTAATATACTTATTAAAATCTATACAAACGATGACTGTCTTTATGATTCAACACCAGAAGTTTGATCTAATATCATACTGGATAAGTGTGTTTCCATTGATTTAATAACATGCTTTATTATACGTCTAATAATTGTTTTCTAGCTGCATTACTAGGTTCCATTGCATTGCTTTACAATATTGCTGTATAAAGGTGAATACAGTCAGCATATTAGCTCTTATACCACTATGCGTCCATGTTGTAATCACATGATTTGTAAGTGCTTTATAAACGACGTATTAGATTCATTATTCGACAACACTGCTTCAGGCTAACAACAAAACGAAATTGGTAGCATAGTGGTTACCGTTTCCGCTTTCCAAGTAGAAGGTCGCGAGTTCAATCCCAGCCTCAATCCATTTTTGTTTTATTTATTTTCTACGCCTAATTAATTTAAATCGTAATCATAAATCGTATCACTCACGACAATCAATTTATAGATCTATCGAAAATAATAGCATCCTTTCCATCGAAATTAGAGAGATGGAGAGGTAACGTTGGTCTAATGTTAAACAACTATGAATAAATTAATCATTCTTACATCTCCTTGAATTAGCTAGAGTTACGGCTGGAAGTGCTGATAGGTTTTCAGATTCAAGCTTTTATTGCTTATTTAGCTGCCCATATGATGTATTCTAGGATAGCTCAAATGGCAAGGCAAGCGGCTGGTGATCGGCAGGTCATGGTTCGAATCCCATAAAACGACATGTGTGTGTATGTATGCATGTAATAAATTATCTAGATCTGTGTGGTGGGTGGCGTGCTTCGACAGAAATAATGACACAACAATCACTAACGAGAGAACAAAAACCCCTGCTCTGTGCCGTTCTTATTTTCGGATTAATTATCCCGTAGTTGAATAGTCATTTAATTAATGTATAATAGTGTCTAATTAAACATTATTTCACATGAGAATTAAGCTTCTTGTATACACCTTTATACCATCGCTGTTTAAGGAAGTATTGATGTCTAATAAACGCTGAATAATCAAAAATTTGATCGAATAAGCTCTGTTACTACAACTCTTGTAAGTCGAATAAAAGCTTCTCGACATACCTTATTCAACACCAAATATTTCGATGTGGTTGAATAAATTCTCCAGATTTGTGTGAACAAAGCCTGAACAGAAGTTATTATTAAAAATAGTACAAGTATTATTAAGCATAAAGTGGAATAAAATCTTCAAGAAGTCGTTTCTTCAATAGGCAATTGTTTGTTGGGAAGGGCCTCGTACTCTTCCTTCAGAGCCTGTTTTCAGTGTTGCGCATCGTCATAAGGTAGTGCTTCCTGATGGGTCGTTGAATCATCTAGCATTGACTGTTGAAAACCGGCACCAGTATCTGAATATTCAACAATATCATTCAAATACTTGCCTTGGGGCAGGCGCCCTCTATCGCAAAGGATCTCTCATTGCATCTCATCGCTAGTAGGTTTTTCATTTGAAGACAATGCGGAGCTGTTTCCTCGGTAATGGGTGCACGCTGGAACGTAGAACGCCTTCGATCATCCGAAAACATCAAAGACAGCAATGCTTTGGTCTCTAAACGAACATCTTTGTATTTGCCTGCGAGAAAGCACTCCCCCACTTTGCTTCAACGCCTGTGACTTTGGAGAATTTGAAACTGTGTGCGTTGGGAGCGCAGAATATGTCACGGTGTCAACAGTATCCACGAAGGACTCACAACTTGAAATTGTTTCTTCTTCTACCGTTTCGTAGTGGTTATTATTTTCCGGCGCATCTGGGTAGGCTTCGACGTCCACCTCCAAAATCGTAAAATTCAGTTGAACAAAGCTGCGCGTACAAGCGGTAAGGTTCCGTTTTGTCATCGTACCCAGTCAACACGCACTCTTTAGCCTTTCCCAGACAACCAGAATGCACGTACATTCAAAGTTGTTTTCGTGATATACAAACATATATACAAACAAACAATTCGTATATAATGCAAAGAAATGGGTTATGCGTACAAAAGTGGAGGCCATATAAGTGCATATTTTAATTTAATTTTAAACGAGTTGATTTAACATCATATACGATTTAATCTGTACTAACAAATTCATTTTGAAAAGTCTTACGATGTAATCCGATTTAATTTGAGATGCAGTTCGATGGAAAAATGAGTCATCGCATATCGATCGGAAATTCGCATTCTATATGATTTAACTTAAATATAATGCGAGGTATGCCATTCTTATGTGCGATTTTGATTTGAACTGTAGCAATTTACGATACTGTCTGTACATTATTATACGACTTCTGGTTGTCTGGGTTTGGTCCCACTGTTGACGCTTTTGCTTCTGCGCCATCAAAGTTGTGCCAAAATTCCACATGTAGGAAAGATTCGGTTTTCATTTCGTCCACACTTCCTCTGGCGTCGTGTCAATACCCTTGGTTTTGTTTTTCAATTACTTTATTTGATAGACTCAAATGTCCAAAATGACTCGCCGGAGCCGAGAGTTATTGAATAGTTTTTTTTTTAATTACCACCCGTATTCTTGTTTTCGTTCGAACCGTATTTTCCATACAAAAAAAAAAGTTTTTTGTATGGAAAATACGGTTCGAACGAAAACAAGAATATGGGTGTACAACAAAATATTAATGCCGGACATTGTTTATGAATTCTTCTTACTCTTCCTTGGAGGTGACTTGAGTTTAACTTCCACTTTCAACTCCCTCGCTTCCTTTTTTTCTTTCCCTTCAGCTGCGCCCACTGCTTGACCTCCTCTTCGACCTTTATTCGCTCCTTTTCGGTATAGTCCACTATCCCGATCTTTTAGTAGTAATACGCATCATTTTTGCACTTGAAAACTGGCGGCTGCTTCCTCTCCACTGTTCTTTTCGGCGTCCGAGCACGTCACATCCATCACCACCAGGATGGACCTCAATCGCTTCCTCGTTTGGCAATGGAAAATTAATGTTTCACGGTTGTATAGCAAACAATGAAGCATCGAATTCACTGATTTGAGCTATGCGATATGTAGCGATCATCTGAGGGGGATCCTGTCCAGCGATTTCGCAAAACTCGCAATTTCTTCCATAGATGCTTTCGGCGAGCCATGTGGGAAGATGAATCTGGCCTTACTTATGAGAAGGGCCTATGAAAAATGCACATGATATCTTCATAAAATTGTATCTCGGAAACGGTTTGTCCGATTGGTTTGGTGTCTTGGGCGAAGTTTTAGACAATTGTTGGTGTTATATGGAGAAAATATGCACGGTAAAAAAAAAAGTTTGGTATTTGTGTTTTGAACTAAAATATAAATTTTCCCTTTAAAGTGACATGTCAATAATTTTTTTATTATCCTTATGTTATAGCTGACAGAAAATGCTATCTAGTGCACAGTAGGTTGTTCTGCAGATAAATAGGTTACAATGAAAAAAATTGTTTTTTAAAAAAATACAATTTTCAAAAAAGCTATTAAGAAAAGTCAAAAAAGTTTGTCACCCTAATTTTATGAAAGTACATCAAATTTGCAAACAAAAAGTACTTCGGTAACATTTTTCTAAGATGCACCGTTTAGAAGATATTACTGATTTAATATTGTTTTTTTTTTTGATAACTTAATAAGTTTTGGCCCTTTTCGGATGTACTCCGTGTTTTTCCAGTTTCAAAAGTATTTTTTCGGAAAGATTGGAAAATTTTGAGTTAAAATGACACTGACAGCTTAAAGATTCGAGTGAAATTCTCTGCCTTAAAAGTATTTTGAAAAACAAGTTACAAAATCCCACTATCAGGAACAATGATTTCTTCAAATGATTTTTGGTGCGTTGTGCTGAAAACGTGCTAACAAGTATTAGATACAGGTAATCAGATACCAGTTAGCTGTACTACGTACAGTTGGTGATTGTAAACATGGTCTTTGTTGGAACTAGTCCACCATGGCCACGCTGGCCATAACGAGGTTGATCCGTCGTTGACCGTTCCTTAATAATAAATAAAAAGAACGCAGTAGTCACCTTCCATCAAACTAGAGGGCTGCCGACTGATACCTCAATCAACAACCGCCGCACTCTTTATTCATTCCAGGTATATACAATTTACAATCTTCTTCAATAACAATATACCTACGCCAGCAAATCTACCTGGCTCCAACTCTCCAAACTTTCTACCCGTGAGCTGTATAATAATGTCTGACTCGGTTCTGAATTCATCCAGTATCTACTAGGGAAAACCAAACAGTAAATGCAGAAAGGTTGCTAGTAGCATAGTGATTATAGTAATTTCAGCTCATAATCCTGTGTTTTTGAACGAGATCCAGTGTTGTTTGATAACATAATAATTGTAAAGGAAAGTGTAACACGTTTTGGTGCAAAGGTAAGTTTTAAATACACATTTTAATTATATGTTTTGTGATATTTTCGTACAAAACTAACAATTGGAAAATATTTTCTATGTTACAGATTACAAAATGATTAAAATAAGATGTATTCGCCCATTCAAAGACATTCAGTGTTCGAAAGAGCTGCGATATCTCACGGATGGTATCATCCAAAAACTAAAATCAATTGGATTTTCCAAGGTATCCACACTGAACACCAAGGATTTTCGTGTTTGTTCGTCTTGCCGTCTACATATTGATTCAAGAGCTCACCTCACCCAAAACGAGGAACAAAGCGTAGCCGGCGGCTCAAGGATGCCAACTGTTGAAAGTTTGGTCACGATACCATCAGAGTCAACGCTAAGCACAATTAAATCAAATGAAGACTTCACGATGCCTGTAGACGTCGAAATATTCAACCGAGGAATAGCAGCTATTCGTGTTTCGCCTATAGATTTAGGTAAGGTTAAAAATGTTCACTATCCTGAAAAAAAGTGCGCTGAAATCGTCGAAGGTGTACGAAGAAATCTTTTTAAATTAGACGCTAAAACAGAAAAAGCAAACGAGTTTGATGAAGTCATAGAAAATATGAAAATTAAATTTTTAAATTCAGCCACAAGGCAAGAAAAACTATCAATTTTATCATTGTTGCCAAAATCATGGTCAGTACAAAAAATTGTAGACGAATTTAAAACCAGTAGAAATATGGCATCAGATGCAAGAAAGGAAAGAGATAATGTATTTGATTCATCTCAAGGTTCAAGCTCTGGAAAAGCTTTGAGTAATGAAACAAAAGAACTGGTGAACGCGAACACCCGATAAAGACTGCAAGAGAGTTGTTTAATTGGGCAAACAAACGAAAAGAAGAAGAACTTACAAAGTTATCATTTTGTTATTCTACTACAGAAGAATACGAAAATATGTCTTTGCAGCTAAATAATCAATATAATAATGCAAAAACAATTCAAGGAACTCTAAAATTCCACTCATTTCTTCCTCTATCAGAAAATACAATAAAGGCAAAGCTTTATTCAAACTGTCCTGACAATGATGCCAAAATATTCAATATTGTTAAGAAAGTTGTGTAAACAATAATTTTATAAAAATACAGGAATAAAAATAAACTGATGATATCCAACATATAATGTTATTTTTTATTGCGCACAATCACCATCCCTGAAAAATAAGCTTAATTCGCTCTTTTGAATCTTGCTAATTGAGGAGCTTACATTTGCAGTTCTCAAAAAGGTGTATCTCGAAATCGAGTTGTCTCATCGGTTTGATGTCTGTGGCGATGTTCGGCAATAGAGAGAAAATATGCACAGTATAAACACATCCAGTTTAAATGGATTAAACTGTTAGGCGATATGCAAGAGTTGAATGCACATTTTCAGCACAACGCACCAAAAATCACTTGAAGAAATCATTGTTCCTGATAGTGGGATTTTGTAACTTGTTTTTCAAAATACTTTTAAGGCAGAGAATTTCACTCAAATCTTTAAGCTGTCAGTGTCATTTTAACTCAAAATTTTCCAATCTTTCCGAAAAAAATACTTTTGAAACTGAAAAAACACGGAGTACATCCGAAAAGGGCCAAAACTTATTAAGTTATCAAAAAAAAAACAATATTAAATCAGTAATATCTTCTAAACGGTGCATCTTAGAAAAATGTTATCAAGTACTTTTTGTTTGCAAATTTGATGTACTTTCATAAAATAAGGGTGACAAACTTTTTTGATTTTTCTTAATAGCTTTTTTGAAAATTGTATTTTTTTAAAAAACATTTTTTTTCATCGTAACCAATTTTTCTCCAGAACAACTTACTGTGCACTAGATAGCATTTTCAGTCAGCTATAACATAAGGATAATAAAAAAATTATTGACATGTCACTTTAAAGGGAAAATTTATATTTTAGTTCAAAACACAAATACCAAACTTTTTTTTTACCGTGCATATTTTCTCCATATAACACCAACAATTGTCTAAAACTTCGCCCAAGACACCAAACCAATCGGACAAACCGTTTCCGAGATACAATTTTATGAAGATATCATGTGCATTTTTCATAGGCCCTTCTCATAAGTAAGGCTAGATTCAAAATGGCGAACCAAGTATGCAAAACGGCGTTTTTCTTCCCCAAAAACTTGTATGCAAGGTTTCATGCAAATCAAAAAAGATGAAAATTACTCGTTGCTTTAATGATATGGAACCGCTCCATTTTGGAACAAACGGTCTGCACAGAGCAATGGATTGAATAGCGTAGTGCTTTTGTGGACCGTACACGATTGCAATAATCGTATTGTCAATACATTCAATATTGACGTCAATACATCGGTATTGACAATATTTCTGTATTCACATCATTAATATTAATGTCAATAATTCCCCTTCGCGTCAATCTATTGATACGTGTGGGGTTTGCTTTTCACACTCAGTCTAAGCAGTCAATAATTTTACGCTCTGCTTCAAATAATGAACAAACACCGCAACAATGAGTTTCTATCGAAAAACAGACTATCGCGTGACTCGCACCGAAAAAAAACACCCAGCTGCATACAAAACGAAACGGAGAAAGAGTGGTGCGCTTAGATAAAACTTACTTTCCTCAATGCTCTTTAAATGAGAAGCGTAAAGTATCAAAATAAACAAAGGTTACAATTGGGAATCAAACCGCAAATTTTGGGATTCAAAGACAGTACCTAACCAATTAGTCCCGCGACGCTTGCTGAAACATTGCGATAAAAACCAAATAATCAAATGGGAACAAAATGCGGTTGCACATTGAAGCGGCCATCCGAACAGCCGTCCTCAGATTTAAAGAGGAAAGTCGAGGCAAAACGGAGAAAAGCGCATGGTTTGAATACTAAGTGAAGTTGGAATTTTACTTTTCTCTTTTCCTACTCTGAGGTAGATCCATCCCTGCTCCCTAATCTGAATATAGCATTGGACAACTCTCAATGAACTGTGGAAGTGCCCGAAGAAAAAAAAAATGTTCGTAAATATTAGGTATGTAACGTTAATTCGATAGGAAAAAAAAAATATAAAAATTAAAAATTAGTGACGTAAACAATCTATATATTTTCATATAGCATTGACGTTTTTGAGTGTATTATATTATTTTATAGCGAATTCGTTTATTATTCAGTTCCAACCTGGATCGGGTATCAAGATTGGATCTGCTGGTTTTCTGACAAACGTCAATTTGCTCGTTTGTTTTTAAAACCTAGCTCAGGTTGAGGTTCACACTGACAAAAAGTTCGGTTTCGCACTGGGTTGGAACTGGTGTTAACCCCGATAATAAACGAATTCGCTATTAGAAAAAAATAGAAAGATATAGAGATTGCTGACGTTTATCGTACGCTCACCACTTCAACTTCATAGCGGAAAATTTTCCTGATGAAAACAAATCACTGACACAATCACACTTTAGCAATCTCTATAGACAACCGACTACTCACATGGCAATGTCGAAGGCGCGTTTCCATTTATCCCGTTCTTCTTCCGTTTTCATGTATAACGTAAATGCTGTAGATTGCGTTTTTCTCGCTAAAAGTAAGGAATATTTTAATCTGCCGTCGCGGCCTAAAGTACGCCTGGAGTGGCAGATCTCAACACGGTAGTCTTGTAGATTGTGTGCTTCTCGAAACACATATTGTCCCTCCTGAAATAAGTCATATTTTAGATTACATCAAGCGACTGACAACGGTATCAACTTACTCCGATTTTTGTATTCGAATTTTTCACTAATATCATAACCTTCTCAAATACGAAGGAGTACCTATGTTTAGTTTTCTGATCTTCATGTGCTTTTATATTCAAATCACCATCTAACAATAGCCTCCCATACTGTTCGAGATTGTTGCCGTTTGGAAGGTTTAAATCTAAAATACTTTCCTACAAATACAAAAAAAAAAATGTTGGTAGTTTAATAATACGAAGTTTACCAAGATGCTATTAAATCATTTAAGGATTGAAATACTGTTAACTTTTTGCAAATGGACATTTAAAAAACTGGTGACTTATAGAAAAATCGAGTTATTCACCTATATTCTCGTTTTCGTTCGAACAGTATTTTGCATACACAAAAAAGTTTTTTATATGGAAAATACGCTTCGAACGTAAACGAGAATATCGGAATAGAATCGTACATATTTTTTGGATTTGATTTAATTCATAATATCGGTACAAAAACAAAATATATTTCCCTCCCCTTGGCTAGTTTTTGCACCTTGCTGTTGGTGGGCGGGCTTAATTTCATGCTAGTGGAGTGTTGGAGACGGTGGGTTTGTGGCCGACGTTGCTGGCTCATGCCGCGATAGAATGGCGCCATGGGCAGGCAATGAGGATTACTGAGCTTCCCCTCTCTGATAAACCACTGCATGAGAGAACAAAAGATCTAGTCCAGCAGTGATAGTATCACACTTGTTACTCCTTTTATTGAGAGCCGCGTCGTGGTACGCTTACGTATAGGCACTGACGTTGGGTGTGATACTGGCGGGTTTTGCCGCAAATCACTCTTATTTTATTTATTTTTACGCAGATAGATTTATTTGGGTTTGCAAGGGAATTATACTATTGAAATATTTCAGAAAGTGCCCAACGGTGCTCCTTCTATTTGCGTGACAAGCTTTCATTGTTGTTTTCATTGAAGTATTACTCAGGGAACAATGTTAAACATCATTTTTGTACATGGTATTGTAACTAATCTTATATGTGCTTCATTTTGATTTGGGATAAATGTTTGAACTATGGCTCGGGATTTCCACTGTTGCGTGCTTCTATTGTGATATATCCATACGTAATTTTGTGGGACGACATAGTGGAAACGTGTGAGCGTAGTTGGAGCATATACCCTATATAATTTAAAATCAGCTAGGAAACTAACTTCAAAATGAAGCATTTTAGTCACTTGAGGGTGTCACCTGGGTCGAACTAAGATATAATAAATAGGTATAGGTCAAAATCAAAAGTACTTGAAACACGTTTAATTTTAGATTACAAGCACAAGTGCAGGTACTTAATAAAGCATGGGTTATGATTGATTAGGTGACTTAGAGCTTTTAATAATTTATTAATTTAGACTAATGAGATATCATAACCATCAAATGAATTTAAATAATAAACTTCAGAAAGTTTAATGACATTAAGTAGATTAACAAAAGAATTAGGATGCGGGTGGTCCGCTTAGGGAGGCAACTAACCTTTATAGTTGTAGAATAAATCTTCTTATTTAGTATTGAATTTAAAAAAAGAAAACGCAGGCAGACCAATAGCATTTAGCAGATTAACAAGGAAAGGAATAGTTTAGGAAAAAAGTAAAAGTAGAGTTATGTGACAGTTATTAGCTTTTAAACTTTTGGAGGTATTGTATTCCCCTGAGTTTGTTGTACTCGATTACTATATAATTCTCTCAATACGCGAAATCTCTTATATATGCGATTAAAGCATTTGAGTTAACTTATTTCTTAGTGTTCAAGTACTTACATTTGTAAACAGCAATCAATGTTAATCTATGAACTAAACCATACGTAAAATCGATCTTTCCTTATGTGGTATTGATGCATGTTTAACTTTTCGCGGCTTTCGGAATCAACGCGCCTACGTCTACGGAGCTTACGCAGAAGTGATTTGCAATGCGGTAGAGCTCACCAAAAGTTTTTTTTTTTTTGAGCTTCGGTAGTATAGAATTTGTTCGGTACGGTCGCGAAATCTTGAAATGATTGATACGTGCGGTAAAATAACTAAATTGAAACAAAGCTCAACAGTAAAATAAGTAGAATATTTAGGGAGGAAACCAAAATTTATCAACTTGCCAACATAGGCTATCACATTTATTTTGGTGGCACTCTTTAAGTGATAATAAGTTGTTTTTTTTTCTCTACGGTTGTTTCGCGTGGCGTTCACAATTTGCGCGATTTTCGTATCTTACGTAATTTAGATGTTTAACTATAAACGGTTTCACTGACTCGAGGTCGTTCCTTAAGCGGTGTTGGTACAGGTTAAACCTTTGCCGACTGTCGGATTCAACGCGCCTACGTCTACGGAGCTTACGCAGAAGTGATACGCAATTCGGTAGAGCTTGTCAAACGCTTTTGAGCTTATAGAATTTGTTCGGTGCGGTCGCGAAATCTTGAAATGATTGATACGTTCTTTAAATTAACTAATTTGATACAAAGCTCAGTAGTAAATAAGTAGAATATCTAAGGAGGAAACCAAAATTAATCAACTTGCCAACATAGGCTATCACATTTATTTTGGTGGCACTCTTTAAATGATAATAAGCCTTTTTTTTCTCGCTTCGGTTGTCTCGCACGGCTTTCGGAATTCGCGCGGTTTTCGTAACTTACATAATTTAGATATTTCGTTCGAAACGGATTTACTTATTCAATCGGTTTACTACGCGGATGTATCTACGCGCACACGTCACAGCATTTTTTCTATAACTATCTTGAAACAATACATACGGAATCCAGTGTTCAAGCGGCCAACATAGGCTAGTCCTTCTGCTGTATTGTCAAAGATAGAAGCAAAATTTATTCAAATGGGTCAAGTCTTGAAAATTAAGCTGTCACGCAGCTCCAGCTTGATACCAATAAAAAAAAAAAAAAAAAAAAAAAAATATATATTTGTAATTGTTCAGTGCTTGCCCAAATAAAAAAATACCCTAAACGACAGATAACCCAACTATTTATTCCATAAAGGGTTTGAATGATTAGCAAAATATCCATACAAATTTTATTGGTTCCGCTAGGTGGGCGAATCTAGGGTCCAACTCCCAGGTCTATACATCTACTGGATTTGCTGTTTGCACTCGTCAGCTTGTGCGATACTCACAAGGGTTGTCGTATCCGGGTCCTCTCTTGGGTAGGCTCAAATGCATTTTTCTTTAGTGCTAGTTTTACGGTTTTCCATCAATACAATTGCGGTTTAAGACATTTTAGTCTTTATAACTGTAAAACTACTAGTTATTTGAAACAAAAAGCTGTAAGTTGCCCATAACAAAATGATAGCCACGATATGTAAAATAGGTAAACCGACTCCAGTGTTTTTTTGCAGATATTTATGAGAGTACCTTACTTACCATACCAATGAGGCTAAGGCTTTGATGTCCTTTGCTGTCCTCCACTCTACTCGATCCATGACCACACGTCACCAGCCTCGTAATTTGCGAAGGGTTCGCAAGTCGCCTTGGTCGATCCACCTTGACCACTGCGCGCCTCTTTTTCTTGTTGTCGCTTTCGAGAACCATTTTCACTAGGTCGTCGTCTGGTTCTTACGGCGTTTCCAGGCCACCGCAGCGCCTATTTTTTTTTTGCAGTGTGAACGTTGGATGGTTCTCCCAGCAGCTGGTGCAATTAGTGTAGATGAGTCCACAACTCCATCCGTTTGAAAACTCCAATGGTGTGTTAGAATTCCAAGAGCATAGACCAGGTCTCGTGACTGTAGAGGACTTCATGCGAGGGCGAATTTTATTCGACTGGAGCGTCCTCCGCAGTCCAAAGTAGGCACGATTCTTTGTCATAATGTGTCTTTGAATTCCTCTGCTGGTATCATTTTTTGCAGACACCAGTGACCCCAAATAGAAGAATTTGTCGACCACCTTAATTTCGTTACTGTCAGTCTATACTCGGAGTGGGAGGCTAACATTGTCTGCCCTAGAACGTCTGCCTTTCATGTATTTCGTCTTTAATGTGTTGATGGCAACACCAATCCGCCTGGCTTCAGTCTTCAGTCTGTTTATTGTTTATTGTTGTTTTACATCAACAGGCTGGATGAAGCCTCAATGATGTTAACCTTATCAACTATAGTAAAAAAATACATTCGAGCATGGTCAAAACATTAAAACACATATATCTTATAGTCAGTTACTACTGCCGGCGAAAAACAGAAGAAAACTTTCGAAGAAGCGTAGCACGGGAGAGATGAAAGTCGAAAACAGATGCAACTCTGTTGAATGTTCTCTGCAGTCCGCAAATCGCACCGTATGCGACGTAGAGGCAGTCTTAGCATAAGGTTATTACGAAGCGGTCGGGGTTGAACATTCAGGTCAATTTGCCTCAGGATAGCTTCTCAATCTGCCCTTCCTTGCAGGATATCGGCCACGGTTAGGGCTCTGCTTGAGTCTCTTCTAGTCCGGAGAAATTCTAGGTCGATAAGTTGACAACTGCTTTCGTAACTGGGTAATCGTAACAGATCATTCCAAGGCAATCTACGCAACGCAAATCGAAGAAAGCGACGTTGAACAAATTCAATTCTCTCGGCACCGTTGTTGTAGTTTGGGTTCCAAACCGCTGAACAAGCGTCGATCGAATAAGCGAACAATAGAGAGATTTTAGACAGTAGATATCAGTGAAGTTTTTAGCTATCCTGAAAATGAACCCTAAAGTTCTTGACGCCTTATCGACAACATATTCAATGTGTTGCTTGAATGAAAGCTGCGAATCCAGGATCACACCCAAGTCTTTCACCTGATTCACGCGTTCGATTGTCGAGCCAAGCAGGTCATAGCTAAATATTATCGGTTGTTGTTTTCATGAGAACGTAATAGCGGAGCATTTGGCTGGGTTTACTGCCATTCTGTTTAACCTGCACCAACTAACGAATACATTCAGCTGACGTTGAAGAAAGTGACAGTCAGCAATGGAGCAGATTCGTAGGAAGATTTTGAGGTCATCTGCAAATGATAACCGAGGAGCTTCGATGACCAGATGCACGTCGTTGAAGTACAGTATAAAAATTAACGGTCCCATGTGGCTTCCCTGAGGTATACCTGATGTGGCGAAAAAGCTAGCTAATTTACAATCTCCTAAAGGGTGATACGGTCAAAATTTGGTCAAGGGAAAACGCGTGTAAATCGGTGAAATCGTTTATTTAAAAAATCAAATTAAATTTCT